TTGCAGGGGAAAACAAGGATTTTCTCTAAGCAGACATAAAGCATTGTTGTGATGTGCTGAAAATGGGGTGGCCCAGTCCCTGCTAATGATGGGCTCAGCCCCTTGCATCAGTTAGGGATTGCGTTTGGTTGCCAGTAATAGAACAACCCAACTTAGGGTGGCGTCATCAAATTGAGTTTTAGTTTTCTCACCAGCAGGGATCTAGAGTCAGCTAATTTGGGCTAATGTAGTAGGGACCCAGGCTCTTTCTCACTTTCTACCCAGATTTTGGCAGGTGGCTTTCACCCTCATTTGTGTCACCTTGCAATCCAGCATAGAGTCTAAATTCCAGGCAGGAAGAAGGGAAGGGCTAGCTAAGAGAGCTAAGCATTCCTTCTTTTAAAGGCTTTCCTGGAAACCCATCCAGCAATTTCTGTGCACATCTTATTGGCCAGATTTATATTACACCGTCAGCTCCAAGGGAGGTTAGGAAATGTAAGTTTTTTGTTGGGTACATTGCCGCTTTGAAAAAACTGGGGCAAGGAAGAAGGAGGGAATAGATATTTGAAGCCAGTACATTTGTATTTGAGGACACGCTATGTGCCAGCCCCGGTGCTGTGCTCTTTCTGTGCATTGTCTCCTTTAATCCTCAAAACGACCCAAGGAGGCGGGGGTTGTCCCCATTTTGTAGATGAGGAACCTCAGACCAGAGAGGTTAGGGACTTGCCCAAGGTCACCCAGCTTCTATGGGCTGGAGCCAGCTCTTGAATCCAGGTCTGACTGGCTCTAATCCTATGCACTCTGGGTTTGTCAAGCTTGAGAAGTGACACATGTGGCCAAAATGGTCACCAAATGTCAGGAATTCCCTGTGTTTTTGAAGAGTCACTGATTCCAGGTGCTCACAACGATAGTAATGACCTGCACAAGAAAGGCTTGTGTCATCTTAGCTGAACATCTGTGCCCTGCATGGCCAACTTCTCTGAATGACACCGTCACTGAAAGCCAAGGAATACTTCATTCTTTCCCACCACTGTGCTAAATTGAGCATTGCAAATCTATTGTGATAGATCTCCTGATTTGAGAAGTCATGTGTTACACTGGTGGGAATGCAAGGAGACAGGGAGAAGACCAAAAAACACTTTTGCCTTAAATCCCGTAACTTACTAAGTTAAATGTTTGTCAGGTAAGGTGGGGGGGTCGGGAACATTCCCTTCACCTTTCTTACCTGCAGCCAGAGCCTGAACGTTTTGGACACAAAGGCATCTTATCTGAGGTGAGTCCCAGCAGCTGTGGAAATAGAAGCTGTTCATAAGCCCGAGTATTAGGGCCTAGAAAGCTGCCAGGTAGCAAGCAGACAGCCATTCTTTTAGCCATCCTCTAAAGGTTTGTTTTGCAGTAAATGCTGGTGTCAATCTGAGAAAAGCGTTTATCTTTCTCAATCAGCTTTATATTCAGGACGTGTTGGCATGTATCGGAGTATGTACACTCATATGTACACACACAGTAGGGGCTAATATTTGTAGTTATAAGTTAATTCCAAGGTTAGAAAAGACTGGCAAACTCCATGATTTGGGGTCGGCTTATGAGAACAGTATTAAATGTGGTTACCATGATTAAATCAGACTTTAGGATTGTCTGGGTTTGACAGCAGAGGCTATTTTCTCTACTACTTTCTTATATCCCCTAGTGCCTGTACCAGTGGGGATATATAGGTTCTCAATAAATACATGGAAGTTGATTGGTAAAAGAAGAAAAATCCCCGTTACAGTTGGTTCGGCTAAGACACAGTACCCACAACCCCCGGGTTCTGAAGTTGAGGACATTCTCTTATTTTATTTTATTTTAAAATTTATTTTATTGAAGTATAGTTGGTTTACAATGTTGTGTTAATTTCTGCTGTACAGCAAAGTGACTCAGTTATATATACATTCATTTTCATATTCTTTTCCATTCTGGTTTATCACAGGATATTGAATATAGTTCCCTGTGCTATACAGTAGGACCTTGTTGCTTATCCATTCTATATATAATAGTTTGCATCTGCTAATCCTAAACTCCCAATCCATCCCCACACCTCCTCACCCCCTGCAACCATAAGTCTGTTCTCTATATCTGTGGGTCTGTTTCATAGATAAGTTCATTTGTGTCATATTTTAGATTCTACATATCAGTGATATTATATGGTATTTGTCTTTCTCTTTCTGAATTACTTCACTTAGTATGCTAATCTCCAGGTCCATCCATGTTGCTGCAAATGGCATTATTTCATTCTTTTTAATGGCTAAGTAACATTTCATTGTATATATGTACCACATCTTCTTTATCCATTCATCTGTCGATTGAAGAAACCCTCTTTTCCCTTCAATTCTAATGTCATCCATTTAAGTGCATATTCGTTTTACTACATGGCTTTTACGACAAGGCGCTGTTTATCTTTGTGGTGGGAATAACAAGGAGGTACAGTTACTTCGGTCTCACAATTGGAGTAAGCAGGTTATAAAGCTTCAGCATCTTGGCTGGGGTGTGACCCAGAGGGCAGCCAGAGTTTTACTCTTCTAGACAGCAGCCTAAGCACACCACTAAGGGGTGGTTTCCTGAATTTGAGAAACAGTAGAGAAGATAAAGGCCAACTTAGATGACTTGAAGACTGGGGTTACACTGATGTGGTGTTGGGAGGGAGGATTAAAGGAAGAAAAGAAAGACAAAGTTAAAACCTATAATGTGTACATTGTGGAACAGAGTCGTCCCTTTAAAAACTTATGGTAAGAATTGCTTTTTCTTAAAGTGCAGGTCCCTGAATATTTCCCATCTGTTCCTACTACTTGAGCTTATAGACTCACTGGACTTTAGGAATGGAAGGGTCCTTGGAGATCACCATCTAAATATGTCATTATAAAATGATGTAATAGGACTCCTTCTGCTATAAGTAATAGAGACCAAACTCAGACTAGCTTAAGTGAGAAACAGAATATATTGATGCACAACCAAGAAGTCCGAGGATATATCTGGTTTAGGTGTGGCTAAATCTAGTTCAGGCCAAGTCTTTAAGATTCTATTTCTCTCCGTCTGCTTTTCTTGGTGTTGGTTTCACTCTCAAGTACCTGCTTCCCATGTAGTCGTAGCAGCTCAAGACCAGCTCCAACCAGAGTCCTAGAGCTAACTCTGATTGGCCTGGATTGGGTGATGTGTCAGCCTCTGAGCCAGTCACTGAGACTTTGGATCCTCAGCTCCACAGGGACTTGTAGAGTCAGCAGCACCTTTTAAACCACAAGGACTGAGCGTGGGGAGGCTGATCCCCAAATGAAAACTGAAACACTGTTAGAAGAAGGGGTGGGAGATGGGGGGGAAGATGTCCCCTAGTGATGGATAGAAGGAGGTCCAAACAAGCTTCCCCCCTCCACAAAGCTTTGGGTTTTTATGGAGAAGTCATGAGTACATGGACATGAGATGTGAGATTGCTTTTCTCAGTTTCCATGCCTAAGTTAAGGCCAACAGTTCAGCCTGCACACACTAAGAAGCAGACCTGTGTTAGGGTTTGGATTTTCACTTTACACTGACGTTTTAACCAGCTCCCTGACTGGATTGATCTGCCCTGAATCAGTGCTGATTATTGGTAGCTGAGGTTCTGAGATATGTTGCAGGGACGCCTGAGGTCTGGCCACCAAGATGTAAATGCAGGAGCATTTCCGTTGTTCGTTCTCCTGTTGAAATGGAGAACCCTCAGGCTTGGCCATTTCAGGGAGTGAGGGATGTCTAGACCAGGACCTTTTTCCCAAGGAGCACAAGTCGACCAGCTGCCCATTCAAGGTTCCCTGGTAATTTTTCTGGTCCTTCTGAGCTAGGCTGGAGTGGGTTCCCCTGCCTCCCCAGTCTAAACTCTGCTAAGCTTATGGAGCTGCTGCTGCTGTCTCTCTGGTATCAAGTAATGAGGAGGCAGACATAACTAGGACCCAAGGAGGTGGGGAGAAAGGCAGCTTCCAGTGCGAGATGGGCCATGAAAGAAACCTGCCCTTCTCTATGCCCCAGAAGCTCTTTAGCCTTGGTTCACGTCCTCCCCTGTCACCCCCACCCCATTCTCCTTTGCAGTTTCCAGGTCTGCATATGTGCAAATCATGGACATGCATTTGGAGAGGCAGTAGAGAGCAGTGGCTATAGCACATGGGCTCTACAGTCTGCCTGGGATTAAGCCCTGGTGTCTCTCTTTCCCAGCAGTATGGTCTTGGGCAAGTCATTTATCTTCTCTGTGCCTCCGTTTCCTTATCTCTGAAATCTGACTAATAATACTTCAGAGAATTGTGGTCAGGTCAGTGTTCTTGCATTCCTGTTTGAGCAGTTCCCCGACAAGATACAAAAGTAGTCATATAAAGAGATTGCTGTGCCAATTCTCTACCCACCATCTTGGAAGAATGTTAATTATGCTGCTAATTGTACTTTGGGCTGTGCTGGATGCCAGTGGGAGAGACCCTGGGCTCAGGAGCCTTCTAGCCAAGCTGACCTGCCCCAGACAGACAGGTGGACAAACAGCAAAAGGGAAAGGCATGAGAATACCACATGTACCGTTTATTTGTTTATTGGTATTTATAGAGCTCCTATTCTGTACCGTTATTTCATGGAAGTTCTGGGCATACGATGAATGGCCAGTTGGGCCTCTGGCCTGAAGGAGCTCATAGTCTACTTGGGCGCTAGATGAGTAAACATGCAGTTATGGTCCAGTGTGATTAGTGTGATAGTGGGGTCAGCTGAGATCCTGATCTAGACTCTGTGTGTGTGTGTGTGTGTGTGTGTGTGTGTGTGTGTGTGTGTGTGTGGTGGCTTCCTGGAGGAGGTGACATTTAAGCCAGATCCCAGAGGAGTAGAAGTTAGGCCAGCAGAGTAAGGGGATAGGTATGAAAGGAGCTCCAGGCAGAGGGAAGAGCCCATGCAAAGGCCTGGAGGTAATTGGAGTGTAAAGTGTATCCTTTGGGGAGTCTCGGCTGGGGGTTCCAGTCTGGATGGGGCTGAACGTACTGCTGTCATTGCAGGGACATGGAGAAGGTGGAGCGGCAGGCGGTCCCCCAGGCCAACCACACGGAGTCCTGTCGAGAATGTGGCCGCGTGGGACCCGGACATGCAAGGGATTGTTCTCATCGCAAACGCGAGGATTCCTTTGGATTCGAGAGGCGGGAGCAGGAGGAAGACCGGTACCGCTCCCAGAGGGACCCACTGGAGGGCAAGCGGGACAGGAGCAAGGCCAGGTCCCCATACTCACCCACCGAAGAGGATGCCTTGTTCGTGGATTTACCCTGTGGCCCAAGAGGCCAGCAGGCTCAGCCCCAAAGGGCAGAGAGGAACGGTGTGCTGCCTGGCACATCAGGCCCAGGAGAGCAGAACGGGACTGGCGGGTACCAGCGGGTCTTTCCTTCCAGGACCAACGCTGAGAAGCACAGCCAGAGGAAGAGCAGCCTGGCGCACGTGGAGCAGTGGGCAAAGACCCAGAAGGCGGACGGCAGGAGGTCAGTAGTGGCCTCAGGATCGCTGCTGCTAATGAGCATAAAAATGTCATAAGAGTAGCTATCACTTACCCAGCACATGCTGGTACATGCCGGCCTTGAACTCTACCTCTGTTATCTCCATAAATCCCTGCAACAGGCTTGCAAGGAGGGGTGATAGCCTCAATTTATAAACAAAGAAATTGGGGCTTGGAGAAGTATGGGAACCTGCCCAGGGCACACAGATAAGCGGCAAAGGCAGAGTTTAGACTCAGTCCGTGAGCCTCCCAAGTGCACACGAGATTATATCGGGTTAGGGGTTTCCCATTCCCCAGGGAGCATGCCTTGAGACTGTCGGCATGTAGACAGTAACTGATCTTCTCCTCTTACTTAGCTACTTCTCTGCATCCGGGAAATATTTGTAGCAGCTAGAGTAAATACAGATCCGTTTTTAATTCCAGGCACGTAGAGAAGTGCTCAGGCACTGTTGACATTGTTGACAACAGTGCTCAGGCACTGTTGACACTGTTGACCCATTCCTTCAAGAAGTGGTTTTAATTATTTAGAGGGAATGCATCTCTTGCTATTTGCAAAGCACTATCTGTATTTTATTATAATTTTAGATTAATTAGGACACATTTATGAATGTGAAGAATTCAGGGTCACTCAGCTTCCACATTGTCCTTAGAAGCCACTGTGTGTTGTCTTCACTTTGAAGACAGCAAATCCCCCTCGCCATCCTCAGGCTTCTATTTATTTATTTATTTTTGCGGTACGCGGGCCTCTCACTGCCGTAGTCTCTCCTGCTGCGGAGCACAGGCTCCGGACGCGCAGGCTCAGCGGCCACGGCCCACGGGCCCAGCCGCTCCCCAGCATGTGGGATCCTCCCGGACCAGGGCACGAACCCGTGTCCCCCGCATCGGCAGGCGGACTCCCAACCACTGCGCCACCAGGGAAGCCCCATCCTCAGGCTTCTAAAACAAACCCCAGACTGGAGACGAGATAGCAAAGTCGTGGTGCATTCAGAAAACCCGCCAAGGGCTGGAGGGGCCACAGTGAATGTGTCAGAGCTCAGGCCAAGTCTGCCACAGGCCTGATACACATGCTTTAAAGTGCTGCTCTCCATTCTCCCTGTGTGAGGCCCACACTTTCCACTATGGGGTCTGGAGGTGGTGGTGCTCCAAGGGGAATAGGCTAGGCCTCTTTTTAGGTGGGTGGGGCTGTTGTGAATATGTGGGTGTTGTATGCATGTGTGGGTTGTGTAACTTCTTTAATCTGGTCCAGGTGGGCTATTGTGAGGTTAGATGGTGGAGAACTCGCTGGGAGTTAATGGAAACTCCCTAAGCAGTTGGTAGACATTGTTGTGGGTCAGACTAGGAGAAGGAAGGCCCTTTGTGTTGTAGCTAAGATACCTTCCCATTCCCTCCTGGGACAGACCAGGTGTCAGTTCTGTTTGATCAGATTTTGTGTTTTATTGAAAATAGCTACTGCCCAAGGACACAGAGGAGGGAAGCTGCTATTCTTGGTGCTGGGCTAGGTAGACCTCCTAGGAGGTAGTTCTAAGTGACCTTACTGCTGAGTGAGATTGGAAAGCTGGCAGGGGTTGTATCGTGCAGGTCCTCATAGTCCAAGGTAAGGAATTTGGATTTTATTTGAAAAAGCAATAAGGAGAGCCACTGGAAGGTTTTAAACAGGTAAATGATGTGATCTGATTCACAAAGAAGAGCCTAGGGAAGAGGCTGTTGCAGTAGTCCAGCATGGTGCCAATGGAAATAGAAAGAAATAGATTTGAGGTACATTTTGGAGGTTGAAACAGAAAAGCTTGTCAATGAATTGGATGTGCAGGATGAGAGAAACGGAAGAGGAACAAGGATGACCCCTTAAATTTTGACTTAACAACCGGGTGGTTGCTGAGATGGGGAAGGCTTAGGAACAAGTTTTGGGGGCAAATCGGGGTTTCCATTTTGGGGACTTTTAAGTTTGAGAAACCTATTAACTCCCCAGTGAGGGAGGTGTTAGGTTAGGCACTTGGATATGGATGGTGGCGTGGAGGTTTGACATTTGGTTGGACATGCTGATTGGGAGCAATCAGTGCATAGGTGGTATCCCAACTTGGATGTTAGCAACAGAAGGGGGATCCAGTAGAGGAGACAGTGTGTCAGAGAGAAGCTACTCGTGATAAGTTAGCTGTTTCCTTTTATGTGTATTGATAGCAACTCTTAGGAACTGAAGTCGGTATGGGGCTGACAAGGGCAGGTAAAAGCAGGAGAAACCAGAAATAGAAGCAGATAGAAAGGGCATGGGTTTGGCCCTGATAAGCCTGTATTTCCTACTGAAGAGTCTGGATTTAATCTTGAAGGCCCATGAAAGCCATTGATGGACTTAAAACAGGAGCATGGCATGATAGTGTCTAATATTTAGGAGGGTGGTTTGAAGGGTGTCGGCAGGGAAGAGGCCTCAGGAGATTTTTCAGACTAGATAGATATTCCTTACCTCATCTCAGTTCTCACACAGCAGGTCCATGAATATGGTGAAGAAATTTCCCAGGCTATTCTGATGTACCCCACCCAAAATGAGAACGGCAGGTTTTTTTTTTTTTTTTTTGTGGTACGTGGGCCTCTCACTGTTGTAGCCTCTCTCCCGTTGCGGAGCACAGGCTCCGGACGCGCAGGCCCAGCGGCCATGGCTCACGGGCCCAGCCGCTCCACGGCATGTGGGATCTTCCCGGACCGGGGCACGAACCTGCGTCTCCTGCATTGGCAGGCGGACTCTCAACCACTGCGCCACCAGGGAAGCCCAGAATGGCAGTTTTAATTACCCCTTGTTTAAAAAAATTTTTTATTAAAGTAATACCTGTATATAGTTTTAAGAATTTAAGTAGTATGACCCCATCCATCCCTATTCCTGATTCCACCACCTTTGAGGCAACCACTTTCAATTCTTTTAGTAGTTCTATGTATTTATCTCTATATTTCCAAATAAGATAACTTATACTGCTGTTTCTTGAGTTTTCAGTTTTAGTTAGCTATCAACATTCTACTCTAGGTGATAAAGATTCAAGTCTCTTATTCCCCCCCTCTACCTTTCCTTTCCAAAGACACACTTACCCTTATCCCAGCTTCATAATATAGTTATAGCATAATTTTTGTTTAGATCACTAGTCAGTTTTTACATTATTATATAATGTGAAGTATAAATATTCACAGCTGGGCCATGTAGTATACAATAATTAAATTTCTTTTGTGGTACAGTTTTTTATTTTCTGGTATTGATAATTTTCATGCTTATAGCTTGCTTAGTTTTCTCTGTACCCATTACTAATTCATCACCAAATTCATAGCCAAATGTGTAAATCTCTCTTTGCTCAGTACCCTCAAATAATCAGTAATCTACTTACAAGGTAAAAAATCCAAATAAGACCAATGGGTAAATACTGAAAAATAAGTGTCCTCCTGTTTTATTTCAGAAACCTAGATCTACTCCCCAAAGACCAACCGCTATATTAAAAACAAAACAAAACAAAAATCCATGTTCTTCACCTGGCTTTGTTCCACTTAATATATCAATAAATATATCGATAGATATTTTAAGATATCTTGGCTATCTATATCAGCACATATAGACATATTATTAATTTGAAATGGTGCAGAGTATTGCATTGTATGCATCTACAGTGATCTTTATACCATTTCCCTATTGATGGATAATTAGGTTGGTTATAAACATTTGCTATTCCAAACTGTGCTGCAGTGAATATCCGTGCTTAATTGTCTTTGCAAACAAGTGCAGGTATACTTGAAGAACAAATTACTTGAAGTGGAATAACTAGGTCGAAGGATATATGTGATTTTAATTTTGATTGATATTACAAAATTGACCTTCAACAATGCTGTTTGAGTTTATACCCCACCAAAAGTGTCCCTGTTTCCCCACCCCACATCATCTCTGAAAACTACTGTTTTAGGTTAACTGCTTGCTCTGGTGACCATAGAGAAGACAGTTAAATGGAGAAGAGTCTGGAAAGAACATGACCAAGTATGAGGTGGTCATATTTGGGGTAGGAGGCGAAGAAGACCTAAACAAAAGCGGTAAAGATGGTGAGGATTGTGAGGAGGGGTTGGATGGGATACATAGACGTTGAGATTGGGTAGGTATAGGGCTTGGGAAACTGATTCATCCACGGCTGGAAGGTGAGGAGGGCCACAGGTGGAGTTGAGGTTAACATTCAAGTTTGACTTGGTTAATAGGTGCATGTGGCGCTGTGCACAAGATGTGAGCATGGGAGAAAGAAATGAGCTTGAAGGGGAATGTGGTACCTGTGGAGTGGCCAGGTGGAGATAAGCCGTAGGTTATAGCGAATGTGGGTTCAGCTTAGGGAGAGATTTGGAAGTCATTGCCCTGGAGGTGGAAACTGATGCCCTGGCAGTAGTCAAGATCACTGAGGGTTGAATGCTTAGAGCAGTGGTTCTTAATCGTGGCCGCACAATTTGGTCATTTGAGGCCCTGCTCAAGAGATTTCGCCTTATTTGGTCTGGGGCAAGGTGAGGGCATCAGTCTATTTTAAAAGCTCTCCAGGTGATACCAGTATATGAGAGAGGTTTGACATTTACTGAGGTCTGGGTCCCATGCTGGAAAATCTGATTCTGATGATCCGAATTTCAGCCTGGACATCAGGAGTTTTCAAACCCCCCCCTACCCCTGGTGATTCTAGCATGTAATCAGGGTTGAGAATAACTAGCTTAGAACAATAGCAGAGGGCCAAAGGCAGAACCCTGAGGATCTCCAGTCCAAGGGGGTGGGCAGAAGCAGAGTCTGCATAAAGAAGTCTAGCAGAAGATGGAGGAGGAAAACCGGAGTGTGGTGAGGGAAGTTTCATTTGGAAGGAGTCCAGTGGGCAGCATGAGACTGCTCCCTGGATGTGGTGCCTTCTAAGGAGGCTGGGTACCACGGAAGGAGAATCTGGAATGTCAGGGTCTCTCTGCTGGTCTCATGCTCAGTAGCAGAGGCCTTTGGTTCCAGTGAGCTTCTTGATGGGCTTAGATGAGTAGACCTTCTTAATAGAACTAGAATTTTTAAGTCAGGAGGCAGAGTAATGCGAGGGGAAGGCCAAAGGGAACCAGAAGGAAGGCATGGCCATTGAGAAACCCTTCTTGGCAGGAGTGCAGAAAGGAGTTTGCAAAGCTGTACTGCTGGTATAAGTTGTAAGTTATAAGTTGTGATTGTGAAATGTCTCTACATAACTCTGGCAGCCCACAGACCTACGTTATTCTGCTACACATAATGAGGGCTGGGGGCAACATGGGGAGCTAAAGGATGAGAAGTCAACTGCTAGGAGATAAGAGGTGGTTGGGGAAGGCGTCGGACTGTCCTTAGGATGTGAGGGGGGAGCTCGAGCCCTTCTTATCTAAGGGGCAGGGAGACATTAGGTCTAAATGAAAACAGTTTGTTGGCCTTGGAGGTCATTGAGCACTCAGTAAGAGGAATCTCAGTCTAATGATAGAAATAGTTCTCAGGGGGCTGAAAAGTAAACGTGAGGGATTGAAGACGACCCTTTGAGAAGAAAGCCGTAAGCCTCTGCGTAAGCAGAGTGCTCAACATCTGATCGTTCACTTGTAGCTGATTGTTCACTTGTAGCATATTGCATATCAGAGTTATCTTTATTTTTTTCCTTAAAGATGTGTTTGTCATTTCTTACAGTCAAGTAATAAGTAGTTCTGGCTGCTTAATAAAGGAACCTCCTCCTGTTGATAGTACAGAAGAGGGATATCCCTGCTCTGTGTATGATTGAGACTGTGCTAAATTGGAAGGAGGGTTATTAGAACTGTAATATGATCTCATATTCTCGGCTCTAGACCACACAGGGAATTATTTCTAATTGTTCTTTTAGTGCTTGGAGATGTATATTTATATTTCACTTTTTTAAACTCCTTTAGAATGATGGTTTGCAAGGACAGACTGATACACCCTTAGAATCTTACCCCATTCTATGAGGTTGTTTCGAAATTCTAGCCTTCCATTTTTTCCCCGGTGTTTAAAGTAATGCATACTTGTAAAATAAAATGGCAGGGGTGGGTGTTGAGTCAGGGATGCAAACATTACCACGAGGAACAGAGTAAAACGTGGAAGTCCTGCACAACCAATGTGGAAGCTCAGGTGAGGACTGCCTGCTGCATAAGTAATTGGTTTGATTTCACGTTTCGATATGACCATTTTATAGGGGCTATATCAGAATATATAGGTGCCTTTTGGAAAGGGAGCCCCCCATGGCACAGCGGGATTTGAGGGCAGGAGACCTCGAGCCTTCTTTTGGATAAAGCTGGGGTTGGGGGCCAGCAAATGGATCTGCTCTTAGGACAGAGCTGCTCTGCGCGTTCCTGCCTGCTCCAGGGTGACCTTTACCTCGTCTTACAACCCTACCTCCTGTGTCCCCCCCTCCACCATCCGTTGGTTACTGTGGTTTGGCCTCTGGCACCAGGACTCACCATTGTACTGGGGTCTTTGGGGACGTGCTTCGCATCGTTTGCATTTTGCTTCAGGCAGAATGAGCAATGGTAGTAAAGTCATGAACTCCCTGGGGTAAGCCCCCAGCCTGGTTTCTGCCACTGCCACCACTGCTGTTTGAGGGTTCAGGCACTGCCCCTTCCTCAGAGACACATTCCCCTCTGACTCTGGGAAATCCATGGCAAACCCTGCCACCTGGTGGCAAGGAGACAAGCTGGGCAAGCTGAAGAGATCTTAAAATTACTTCCCGTAATTGCAAAGATAACGATAAAAAGGGAGAAGAAAGCCACCAGTTTTTGAATGACAACTACTTTTAATCCTCACAACAATCTATTAAATGGTTCTTAGTAGCCCCATTTTACAGTAAGGAGGGTGATACAATGAGTTAAAAAACAATTAGAACAGCACTTCTCAAACATCAACCACCTGGAGGGCTTGTTAAACCACAGGTGGCTGGGCCCCACCCCCAGGGTTCCTGATTTCAGGTGGGGCCTGATAACCTGCATTTCTGACAAGCTCCCAGGTGGTGCTGATGCTGCTGGACTACACTTCGAGCTTAGAACAAGGTCTGGTGAGCGCCGCTGTATAAAGATTTGTTAGATAAAGTTGATAGGTAAAGGCAGAGTCAGGATTCCAGCCCAGGCCTGACTCCAGAACCTGTCCGTTTTACATCCTGCTGCCTCTCAGGTTAGACTTTTAAAGCTTAATAAAACTGTAGTTGGCCCTTGCTGAATTTTTCTTTCAGAAAATAAGATGGCTGGTCGGTAGTAGTTTTCACCATCCTCTCCGGCTTTTGTGTGCTGGAGTATTTGTTGAAGGGCTGGTTATGTGTCAGCACTTTCTCAGACCGCGGACAACACCGCAGAGTGTAAGACACAGTTGCTGCCCAGCAAGGATTTACAGCTTGTCTGGGGAAGAGACAGCTTACGGGTAGGAAAAGGTTACATCAATACAGGACCTCGGAAAAGTTACAGACTGTACAGTAACTAGGTCAGAGCAGGGCAGGAGCCCTGAGGGCTGTGGCATTGCAGAAGGCCTCTGTGGAAGAGGCATGGGACAGTGACCTGGAGAATGAGTGAGATTTGGTGATAGGGCAAGGTGAGCCCATACAGGTAGGGGAAGGAGGAACAGTATGATGAGAGTAAGGAGAGGGAAGTGGGAAGGGAGCACCCACTGGTGAAGGTACTGCCTGTGTATCAGGCAAGGAGCCTGTGTTCTCTTCCTGTCTCATGTATTCTTCAGGGCAGCCTTAGGAGGCAGGTAGCTCTGTCCTCAAGTTATCGGTAAGGAAGCTGAGGCTCAGAGCAGTCAGGTAAGCTGCCTAAGGTCACACAGCCAGTGGATTCAACCCTAGGTCAGACTTCCTCTGCTTTTTCTATTGCAGAAAGTTGTCCAAGTGGGTAGGAGGCCAGGCAAGATTAGGGTGAGGCCCTCACACTCAGGCTCCAGCAAGTGCAGGGGTGCACCTGAGAGGGGGGTGCCTCCTTAAATGTTGGACCCTTGACGGCCAACTTGCCCCAATTTGATCCTGGCCTGGGTAGGAGGAGCAGTGAGAAAATAGCAGGAAAGGAAGGTGGGTTGAGGTCAGGTGCTAGAGAGCTGAGAGTATCAGGAGAAGGGGGTTAGATTTTATTTCATAGGCGTTAGGGAGCCATTGATGGTTTTGGAGCACAGGAGTGATTATATCCAAGCAGTTGACTCTGTACAGCATGGAAACTAGTTAGGAAGATCTCAGAGTTGTCTGGGTGGAGGTAGTTAATCAGGATCTGGATTAAAGTAATAGGGAAAGAAAGGAACTGATGCCAGCCACTTCCTTTAAGAACCTCCAGGGCTTGGTGCTGGGGAACATCTTGGTGACCGGGAGAATCATGAGGCATCTCCTAGAGATGTGCACACCTGATGGAAAAGCTGACTGATGGCAAGAGAGAGAGGCAGGTTTAATCATGCTGCACTTGAAGTGGGGCAGCCAAGTCGGCCTGGTAGGGGGGTTGACCCTCCAAGGTTGATGGATAAAGTGGTTTAGGAATCCTCTGCAAAGGGAAGAAGTGACTGAAGTCCTGGGTGTCTGCGTTGATTGTTCTTTGGGGTTCATACAGGGCTCTCTCACGTGCCTGGCTTTGTGGCTTTGCCTAGCTGTGTTTCCAGAAGCCCAGCAGACCCCTTGCTGGTCCTCTTACCTGTCCTCTCCTTTCTCCTCAGCCTGCCCCTGGACCAGACCCTTCCTCGCCACGGTCCCAGCCAATCCCTGTCCTTCCCAGAAAACTACCAGACTCTTCCCAGGAGCAGCCGACACCCCTCGGGGGGCTCTTCGCCCCCTCCCCGCAACCTGCCGAGTGACTACAAGTACGCGCAGGACCGAGCCAGCCACCTGAAGATGTCGAGTGAGGAGCGCCGGGCACACCGGGACGGCACGGTGTGGCAGCTCTACGAGTGGCAGCAACGCCAGCAGTTCCGGCACGGCAGCCCCACGGCGCCCATCTGTGCCGGTTCCCCAGAGTTCACCGACCAGGGCCGAAGCAGGAGCATGCTAGAGGTGCCCCGCTCCATCTCTGTGCCTCCATCTCCCTCGGACATCCCTCCCCCGGGACCCCTGAGGGCCTTCCCACCCCGGCGGCCACACACGCCAGCAGAGAGGGTCACTGTGAAGCCACCGGACCGGAGAAGGAGTGTGGACATCTCACTGAGCGGTTCTCCCAGGAAGACATGGGGCCACACCACCAAGGTGAGACTCCGAACGCCCTGCCGGGCTGCTGGGGCCCAGCATTAGGACGTTAGGAGCCTCACATGGTTTGAACACAAACTTGAGCAATGTAGGATAACGATAGGTAACACTTACGTAGTACTGTACTTTAGCGCTGGGTGTAGCGCTAAAGGCTTTAATTCTTACAACACCCCTATGAGGTAGGTGCTATTATTTCAGGTTTCCCCCGCTATCTGAAGGTAGAGTGTTCCTATGAAACCTTTAGTAAGCCAAAGTGGCATAAAGCGAAGAAGTAATTACATTTTCTGTGAAAGTGAAAATCCCCTTTGGATTTCGGTTATCAGGTGCTAAAGGTAGGTCTTTTGTAAAATCAAAGTGGCATAAAGTGAACTTCTGTAAAGCAGGGGATACCCGTATGCCCATTTCACACGTGAGAACTCTTAGGCATTAAGGGATGAAGTTACTTGCACACGGTCACACAACTTGAAGTCTGCTTCCTTGCAGCTTGGAAGGCAGGGAAAGATGTCTGTGTTTAACTAGTTCAATTATTTATAATAACCTGACTTAAGTTTTAAATCCGGAGGGGCTCTCACAGTTTGTCATTGTCATAACCTGGTGGGAAAGATGTGTATCCCAATTTGACGGATGAAGCGTCTGAGGCTGAGAGAGGTGCCGTGCCATGTGCTTGGCTGCCCTGGTAGTGAGTGGCAGAGGCTCTGGCCCCCGCCCCCCTCCATGCCCGGCTCTCGGTGTCACCATGTCTCCCCTTCTGCAGAACTCCTCTCATCTGGACCGACGCTCCATGCCCTCCATGGGTTACATGACCCACACTGTCAGTGCTCCCAGTTTACATGGAAAATCGGTAAGCAGCACCTCCTCTCCCCCTCCAGGCGACTGATCTTATCCAGCTTTCAAAGGGCTAATCTCATCAGAGTTCTCCCCTGAGCCAGTCAGATGCAATCCCATTTTAGAGATGAGGAAACTGAGACTCAGAGGTCGAATGACTTGCTCAGGCCCATCCCGCTGGCATTGGGACCTCCTGAGGTCAGCGGAAGAGCGGGGGGTGGGGGTGGGGGTGGCGGGGGAAGTGGAGGAGACTGTGGTGTTTATTCTCTTTTGGGCAGCATTTTGTCCGCAGCATTTTCCAGCCACCTGCCTTTTTCTCCGGTTAGCTCCTCTCCTTTCTTCCTGGTCTTTGCTTTGATTAGTTCACTGTCTTCAAAACTCAAGTCTGGATGAGGTTGCACTGCTGGTGGCTGTTTCCTGATAAAAACTACTTCCTGCAGCCCCTTTTCTGCCGGTGCCTTTACTTGTCCTAATGACAGAATTAATGCAATAATTACTTAATGGTGTCGCATCAATGCTGTGCCGGCACCGGGGTGAAGAGTAATTACAGCGTCGTGCTCCTGCGGTGCCTCATTTCCTCATGATGTGTCTACACACCTGCAGCTGGAGGAGCTCTCACTGCTTCTCACCCGGTTACGGCGGCACCAGGCCAAGTTGGCCAGGGTGCGAAATTTCGCCATCAGCCAGTTACTGCAGCACGAGCTGACCTTTCCCACCTGCCAGGTCAGCGCCGGTGGGCTCTCTCAGGGCTGGGGGCCGCCCCGGGGACAGGGGAGTGACATGCTGGCCTGTGCTCCCTCGTGCCCGTGCTCTAGTCTGTCCTGCTGTCTGGCTCTCTCCCTTGTTCCTGCCTGTTTGCTACTGGATGCTACTGCCAGACACTGTGCAGCCATCGTGGGGCCCACGCCCCTGTTGCTGGGGAGGAGGCTGCATGTGGTGTGAGGGACCTGAACTGTGGCTTCTCTGCCTGTGAGTAATGACTGCCAGGCTGGTGTGTGGTCACGTCCAAGGGCTGTGCTAACTGTCATCCTTGTTGCCACCTTGGGTCCTCGTTGGGATGCTGAGAGGTGTGTGTCAGCCTGGAGGGAGAAGGCATGGTGCCCTCTCATCTGGATAGTGCCCTGCTGACTGTCAGAGCATCTTCACACCCCTTATCTCAGTGAATTTCACAGTAGCCTGGGAGAGGTTAGGGAGGACAGGTGGGAAAGTGACTTGCCCAGGATTCCTCAGCTAGTGGCCTGCAGGCTGGAGCCAGATTCCAGGTCCTGTCTGGCACAGTGTTCTAAACTGTTTCCAAGACATGAGGGGTTGCAGGCAAGCTCCTCGAGGAGTAGCCAGACAGTCGTTCTCCTGGGCATCCCGAGCATCTTAAAGAAGATGCTGGTCCACACGAGCCTGGTCCCCCGAGCTGCACAGAAGTAGGCAGAGGACAGCTGAGGAGGTTGAGGGAATTGTCACTATCCTTACCTGTCCTATTTTAGTGGGACCTGAGAGATACAGGAAATGTATTTGGAAAAATGAATATAAGGGAGCACATGCAAAAATCCTAATTTGTGAACTTGGGTGATTTTTAGTAACGTTGCTCTGTCCCTCTTACTGCAGGACTGGGCTGATTGAGGAAGTAGGGATGGGTAAGGAGACAGCTTAGGGACAGAAGTAAGATCTTGCAAACCACTGGTGTCCCTGGCAGTGCTCCTTCAGGCCTTCTCATGCTTAAAAGCGCTGCCTGAACGTTTTGCATTATTTATTTTTGTTTGTTTCACATCAGAGCTCTAAACTGGACCACCTTCCTAGCCCTGGCTTGCTTTGGCTTGCTGAGAGGCCTCTTAGTTGGCTGAGAAAGTGCCCGGACTCTTCTTCTTAAGCTTTCGTAGCCCCTCTCCCTCACAGTTAGCTTCTGTGATCCATTACATAGGAAGCACAAGTTCTAGGAAATCAAAGGGTCTTTTCCTTATTCTCACTGTTTCTGGTAATTATACTGAAGAACTCAACAGACTGTCAGAGATGACACAAGCAGACAGGTCTGCCTGGACCTTCCTTATCTAGCTCCTGACCCAGCCACCTTGGCTCCATGCTCAGCAAACGGAGCCAAAGCTTCCAGGAAACTTTCTGCAGCTCTTGGTGCTTATCGTTGTAGAACCCAAGGTCAAAAGGGAACCTCCCCGGGTCACCTAGGTCATCTCCATGCCTCTTCCAGGCATCCATCCGCACCCATCAGGGGGTCCTTTTCCTTCATGCATGTGAAGTGGCCCAGTGCAAAGGTCTGGAGCGTGGCATGTCCTCTTCCAGGTAGACCTCTCTAGTTCTGTCTCAGGAGCTCGCCTCCGCCTCAGCTGCTCTGCTGGCCTGATCCTCTGGTGGGATGTGTGCTGTCTCCCTTCTCCTCCTCAAACTGTCCCCAGCCGATGGTGGGAACAAGCTGGCTTTCCCCACATGGTGGACCTGTGAGATCCACTATGCTGAGAGAGCTCTGAGCTGCACTGAGACATGTGTGCTTCCTCTGTGGCCTGGATGTGTTGGTCTGCTGTGGTCTCTTGTCCCCGAAGCTGCAAGGTGTAAATGAGTCGCACGTGAAGCCCTGAGTTGTAGACACCTTGGGTGTTCATAACTGGCTTTTTTCTCTCTCTGCTTCATTTGAAGGCTGACGATACCTACCTCCAGCTGAAGAAAGACCTGGAGTACCTGGACCTCAAGGTGAGTGGCCTCAGGGGTCTTGCTGTCCTGGGACACTTACCTTTCTGAGAGTGTCAGCCTCATTGGAGACCAGCCCCAAAGCCAAAGGCCTTGCAGGTCTTACAAATCTGGGTTTCAAATGAAGATGATGTCTCCTGTCTGAATCAGAAGGGGGATTTTTTGTTTTGGGTTTTTTGATTTTTTTCTTTGGTTGCTGTGGCTTTTGGAAATTTCATTTTTAAATTGAATATAATTGACACATAACACTGTATTAGTTCCAGGTGTGCAACATAATGATATTTGTGTATATTGGGAAATGATCACAAATCTAATTAACATCCATCACCATTCTTGGTTACAATTTTTTTTCCTTATGATGAGAACTTTGAAGATCTCTCTTAGCAGCTCTCAAGTATGCAATACAGTATTGTTAACTATAGTCACTATGCTGTGCGTTACATCCTCACGATTTATTTATTTTATAACTGGAAGTTTGTACCTTTTAGAAGAGTCTTATTTCTTGTAGCCTCAGACTCTGGGCTCTTCTCAGTTTCTTGTGAATTCTGCTGTAAGTCTCTGGCTTACAGAATGAGGGCACGAGATCTTGCTTTCTTCCTGTCCTTGGTTAGAACCACAGGGTTCCTCCATATAATAGCCAGTTGCTTCTTCAGAGCCTCCGGTGGGGCTGGGATGGGTTTGGTTCACAGGGCGCCACTGATGCGTGTTTTCAGGCACAAGCAGTTTGGTGGATTGTCTGGTTTTGTAGTGGGGGGAGCAAGTGTCACATGGAATCATGTGGCTCTGAGGGGTACCGGCGTCTCCCATCCCTCCCATCCGTGTTTAGGAGATGAACGTCGGGCCCCACCCTGTAGGTGATGACGTTCAGGCTCTAAGTCAGCCTCCACCGCACAGACAGAACTGGGAAAGCTGCTAGAGAAGCGAGAGGCATTCTGCCGGGAAGAGAGCTGCTATTGTTCTGTTCCCACAGCTCTCTGAAAGCTTGCACTGTGAAAAGCACTTCTTAATGCCTGAGCCATGACTTAAGACTGAAGGAATGTGACCTTTAATTAACTGCGGGTGTGAGAGGGCGGGCAGAGGGCCCTGCGGGAGGACACCCAGGTGACTGCGGCGGGGGACATGCCTCCCTCGGTCCCCAGTGTACCTGGCTTGAGATATTTTTAACTTGGGGATTGTCATCCCGCCTTGTAGGAGCAGGGATAGGAACATTAGGTCCTAAGGCAGCAGAGGAGGGGCCTCCCCCCTCTGAGGCAAGATCAACACCTTTGATTAGGAATCCCTCAGTTAATGTATCTGGTAATGAGCACTTGTGCTGTATCCAGCTCTGGAGAAGCTAGGGGGGATGGAAGAGAAAAATCGAGGCTCTCTGGCCTTGAGAAACTTCCAGATGTTCTGGGTCGGGGAAAGAAAGCGTCCTGAAATAACACAGACTTTTTTTGCAATGAGCGTATAAAGATTTGTCTGGCCCAGTGCTCAGAGCTGAGATAGTGAAGATGACTGTGGCTGCAGTGCTGGGAAGGCTTCTGGAGGAGGTGGCGTGTGTCCAGAGCCTTGCAGAGCCAAGGGTTTAGGTTGGTTGACGTTAAAGGGAAGGGAACTGTGGGAGCCAGGGAGAGCCAGGGTGAGGGTGGTGTGGCTGGAAACGTGGGGACAGATTGTCCAGGTTCCGGAGTCTTTCTAGGCTTTAGGAAGGAAAGTGCAGTGAAGAAAAGTCAGGCTTGGCTTTCAGACATGAGCAAAACAAGGAGGGTTCTCTCAGAACCAGGACGTTTTCTAGCCTACGTGGTATTCAGGTCACGTAGAGCATGAGTGAGTGAGTATGGTAGTCAGGCCTCAGTGCCCAGACGTGGTGGTGTGGGCCAGATGTGCAGCCCAGCCCTCCTTCCGGCGCTCTGAACCTGGGTAGGTCCTTCCACCATGCCCACCTCCCCCATCTGACCTGGAGCAGCCCCCGGCCTCCACCTGCCCTGTGTACCACCATGTCCCTGTTCCCTGGCCTCACCATGCCCGGGGCCATGCAGGTGACACAGAAGTATTTGCAGAGCATCCACGGTGTACCTAGGCCTGTGGGAGAGGCGTGGCTCACAGCAGCACAGGTGTACCAGAAAACACTCTTCAGCGTGCTTGGTGCATGGTGCGAGGGGACCTCATAAAGTGCTTGAGCCAGAGGAACCGGAAATCGGTGTCTTCTGATTCCTGTTTGTGTGAGATAGCTGACCTCACGGTTGGTCCTGGAGAGAAGATCCAGCTCTGCTTGGTTTTATTTAAAGATTATAGAACTTGAGCTCAATAAAAGGGATTGAGAGAGAGAGAGAAAAAAACTGAGGCATAGGATAGCGGAGTAGAGCCAGGAGTCTGTGTCCTGACCGCCAACAGAAGCGGAATAACCATAGAGGGTAAAATGTGTGTCAGTCACCATGTTTTACTTCTGTTAAATTATGTACCCGTGGCAGTAGCCCTATAAGGGAGGTGGTGTTATCTTTTTTTCACTGACTGAGGCTCAAAGAAGTAAATGACTCTCCCAAGGCCATGTTAGTAGTTACGGGGGAGCCAGCACTTGGGAGTAGCGCTGACTCTGAAGCTGGTGCTCTTAATCACCCTGCCTCCCAGCCGCTCTTACAATGCTGCTTCTACTACTGTGGACCCGAAGGTATTAAGTTTTTTGTGGAGCTGAACTGAGGTCCTTCTGCCAGGAAATATTTATGCTGTGATAGAGACAAGGTTGCATCCTTGGGGTGTTTTCACCAGCTAGGAGCCGTATGTGACCAAAACATTAACTAGTGATTGGAAGTTGTCACTGTTTATCTTGAAAAACAGCTGTGTTGATACCAGAATTTCCCTGGTCTTATAGCTGCTACTTCAGTTGCTAAGCTCCTCTTAGAGAACCAGTCCCCCAATAACAGCGCCAGCAGGTGAGAGACACTTGGCTTACCAGCAACATGGGTGGGAAAAGATGCTGGGGTTTGTGTTGTGTGTGAGTCATCATTCAGAAAGGCTGATATCACCTTGGCCTCCCTCCAAGAGACAGGCCTCCCTCCAAATCAGGGAGGCAGTGGGCCTGCTCTGCTCAGACCCAGCTGGGGTGTAGAGTTCCCAGATGGACGTTTCACTTCAGGATCCAGACGAGGGAAGGGCTGGAATCAAAGGAGAGGTGATGAGGGGCTGCAAGAACTGTGTCTGAGGAGTGTATTAGGCGGGATGCTTTTGTTGGCAGGTATCCGAAACCCAAATCAGCCTGCTGAGCCACAAGGGGAATATACTGGTTCACGTAGCCAGGGCTTGCGTTCCAGGAGCTCAGGCCATGCCACCAACTGTTCTACTTTGCACACGGCCAGGGAAGAAACGTGGCCACTTGCACACTCAGGTTGGCTTCATCCCAGCCGAGCCTCCCTGTGGAGTGAAGGGTGGGGGATTCCCTAATGGAAAGCAGACTGGGCAGAAAAAAGAAACGCAGCAGCAGGCAGCACAGCTACAGTGTGGTCGGTTGAAGGAGGAAGGGGCAATGCAGGCAAGACATAGAGACAGTCTACAAAGCTCTAAAATGTTACCATGTGTCTTCCGTGGCTCTGAGGGGCAAGTAAGACAAGCGGATCACAGCTACAAGTAGACGGTTTTAGTTGAGTAGAAGAAAGACTTCTCTAAAAGGGCCACCACAGGTCACAGTGACCTCCCCATCACTGGGGCGCAGCTGAGGCCAGGTGAGCACTGAGTGGGATGTGACTGGATCAGGAAAACCCTCAGGCCCGTTGACTCTTGAGATCCTGTGACGTGCTAGACAAGATGAGCTGCCGCGAGCCCACTGGGGTCCCTGAGACGAGGGCCTCGGAAGACACAACTGAATGGGCCGTGTAGCCCAGCCTGGTCCTGGAGATGGTGCCGAGCACAGCCCCGCTGTGACCAGCTTCTTGTGAGAGGTCCCTCCTGGGTCCTTGTCGGGAGAGGTAAGCCTCTCTGGAGAAGGATGGTCTCCCTGCCCCCACCAGGTTGGCACAGGGTCCCCCGCGTCCCTGTCCCAAAGGCCGCAGACTTAAGGATCCAGAGCCCATGTCCCCTCCGCCTCCATCAGCTGATGCTTGGGTTCCAGAACCCGTTGGTGGTGTTTGCCCACATGTTGTGGAGCTTGGTCTCCTGAAGTGAGCATTCCTGCTGGGGTGCCAAGTGAGCAAATAAAAGCAGACTCCACTCTCTTAGAAGATGCTCTGTGTTGGTGTCCTCTTTGGAAATGTTTACTTTCCTGGCATTTTACTTGGCAGTGCCAGGGTGGAAAGGGTTTCACGCTGATTAAGCATCTGTCCTTGCCTGGCAATTGTGGGGCACCCGTTGTTCATTATCTCACTTAATCCTCTCAGCACCTTTGAGCAAATAAGAATTATTATCCCCACCTTACTAATCAGGAACCCGTGTATCAGAGCGGTAACTTCTGCAAAGGTATGCAGCTGAGATTCGAACCCTGTGACCAACTTCACACCTGCCTCCTTTCTTCCATGTGCCATGTACCTCATCTGCCCTGAAGTTGCATTCGCTGAGTTGTATTTCTGGCATTAATGTTCTGCTCTTCAGAACCCTACACCGGAGCCAGGTCTGAAAAGGGGGTATGAAGTTTCGCTGTTGTTTACGGCTTGAATTGTTTTTATGCATCTGGGAAGCACAGCTGGTAAAGTGAGGTGGGGGGAGGGCACCTGCAACCACACAGGTGGTGCCTTTTAGGTGGAGCAGATTGAAGTCAGCCCCAAAGGGGCTCTTGTCCCTAGTGAGGGACGTCATCAGTGGCTCTAGGTGCCTGGCCTCTGGACTTTTCCTAACAGAGCCTGAGATGTAGGCTTCTCTGTTCAGAGTCTGTTTCCAGTTAGCTTCTGGAGCAGAGTTCTTAAGTCATGGTCTGGAACACCATCTATCTCAGAATGATCTGGGAGCTTGATATAAAATTGCAGATCTGGGGCTTCCCTGGTGGCGCAGTGGTTGAGAGTCCGCGTGCAGATGCAGGGGACACGGGTTCGTGCCCCGGTCTGGGAAGATCCCACATGCCGCGGAGAGGCTGGGCCCATGAGCCATGGCCGCTGAGCCTGCGCGTCCGGAGCGTGCTCCGCAACAGGAGAGGCCACAACAGTGAGAGGCCCGCGTACGGCAAAAAAAAAAAAAAAAAAATGCAGATCTGGAGGGTTCTGTTGAATTAGAACCGCTGAAATGATGCCCAGAATTCTGTGTTTTTAAAATCAAGCTCTGGGGTGATTCTTGTGCACAGTAAGCGGAGGTCTTTTATTCTGAAGAGAGATTGTTAACGCTGGTCATGAACTAGAGCAATGAAAATGGATGCTTGAGTCTTACCCCTTACAGACTCTGATTTAATTGGTAATACTCAGGTATTACTCTTTAAGAAAGAAAGACACTCCCTAGGTGTGCTAATGTGTAGGTATGGCTGAGAAACATGGTTTAAAAGGAGTGGTTCTCAAAGCGTGATCCCAGATGAACAGTGTCAGCAATTTCTGGGGCTCTGTTAGAAATGAGCAGTCTTGGCTCCCACCCCAGAGCTGCCTAGTGAGAACCTTTGGAGGTTGGGCCCAGCAAGTGTGTATATCACAGCCCTCCAGATGATTCTGAAGCATGCTCAAGTGTGAGAACCATTTTTCAGTGGAGTGATTCCCACTCCTGGCTGCACATCAGACTCACCCAGGAGGGCTTTTAAGAATCCCAGTGCCTAGGCCCCACCCCAGGCCAATTACATCCAAGTTTTCTTGGAGTGGGACTCAGGCATCAGTCTTTTAAAGCTCCTGGGTGATCTCAGTGGTGGAGGCAGGGTTGAGATCCAGGGTCTTAGTGGGTGGGGACGGTTCCTTCTCAAAGGAGCTGGAAGCATTTGGCATCATGGGTAAGACATAGTGGTTTAGGTGTGGAGGCGAGGGTCTGAGGGACCAAAGGTGGGTGGGGCTGAGACTAATGCATGGCTCCACTCTAAACTACAGATTCAGTATCTTACAGTATGTGATGGTGGGAGGACAGGGGAAGAAGCAGTCCCCTCTTGCCTTCTGTGGCAGAACCAGGAAAGACATGGGCACTGAAATCAGCACTCTCACGAAGATCCTTCAGGCAGCGCTTATGATCCCCCATTTACGGATGAGGGAACTGAAGTCTGGAAAGGTCCACCGGCTGGGAAGCCGCATAACCAGACTGAGACACACTCATTTGAACTGCGCAACGCACATCCTCCTTAAGGTTCCCCCTCGCCAGTTCCCCAAATTCTGGCTCCTTCAAATGTCATTTGATGTCTTACCTGTTACGATTTGTTGTATTTGCCTTTTTGTTTGGAACAGATAAAAAATAATGAACCTTTGATCAACGTGCTTTACAAAGTGCTGAAGAAGTCAGCACAGGGCTGTCGGCCCAGGAGAAGCGTAAGATGATCTGATCTGTACCTCCAGGCGGGGCCATTCCATTGCTTCTGGCTCAGTGCCGACTCCATCACTTGCTTCACCAGGGGCTCTCCTGACCGCCTCCAAGCTTCCCGCGAGTCATTTCGGTTTATTTTCTGTCTCTTGAAGCTCCCTCAGCGTTTTGGCTGGTGCACGAGGCTGAGCCTCTCATCCGTAGCGTTTTGTGACTCCATCTTTTGCGCTGCCATTGGGGGCGGGGGGGTGGTGGGGCTTGCCTAGCTTGCCACCAGCTTGTGTTGTGTCCCCATCCTCGCTCGTCTGCCTTCATGGTGAGGGCTGCCCTAGAGCCTGGGTTCCTTGGGAGGGAGCAGCAGTTCCTGGTCACCTTGGAGGAGCTGGGGTGTCCCAAGATTCCACCGTGGCCCAGGGATCAGGGTGGCTCTTCTTCAGGGCAGGGTGTTGATGTTTGAAAACGTTCTGGAGCTGGACTAGAACAAAACGCCCACCTCCCCACCATCCACCCTTTGAGAGATGCAGAGGTAGTGCCTGAAACGTGGCCAGCTTTTACAGCATTCCAAGGGAGGCTGCAGGTTGGAAAGCGGGAGCTGTGTCCAGTCATCTTGAGCCCTGCATATAGGTGTCTTGGGATGTGCTGGAGGGGAGTAAGGTGCCTGGGAGGCCTTTAATTGCTTTCCGACGTGGAGACTCTCTCAGATGGATGAGTGCCCACTAACTTTCACTTTTTCTGGTGACAGAGCTGCTAGGGACCCATAGTTGATGTTTTGAATGGATTTAAACATTGCTATCACAAATGTGCAATTTTAAAAGGAAAATGAGGTGGAATATACTGTTTGTGGCTGTGTCTTAGAAGCCTCAGCTCTCCGGAACAAAGCTAAATTCAGGGCCTGTGAGTTGTGTAAACACTGTCACGAAGCCCCTGCTCTAAACCCTGTGACCTTTACTCCACAGAAAGAGGTCTCAGGCCCTGAGCACAGCCAGCTCACCTCGTTTTGTCACATTCACAGACTCACTAAGCAAACGCTTCTCACACCGGGCCCTGGGCTGGGCTTTGACGGTACAGAGAAAATACATCACAGTCCCCACAGTCCCTCCTAATTAGGTTATTGTCAAGTGAGGGGAGACAACAGATCATCTACTAAGGCCCATGATAGTGGCAGACACAAGGGGTGGGAGGATGTCCCTTGCTGGGTACCAAACCCAGATGGAGGGAGGGAGACAGGGAAGAGCAGCAAGTGTGTCCCTTCTGCTGAGTTTCTAATCCTCATAGACTCAATCATTTGAACCCCTAATTCATAGCACCTTAAAAGCAGCACATTAAAAGGGGACAAAGACAAAGTTACTTCTTAGGAAAGAGGGAGCGCTCATATCCTGAGAGAGAGAAGAAGCATCGTAAGTCAATCTGAGATGGGAATGAAAGCGCGGACATTTGGGAGCATTTAGCTAGAGAGGCAAATAGTCCTGATCCCGAACTTCTAAGAGAGTCTATATTACTGATTTTTGTAATGACTCTGATTCATCCCCCAAAAGGTTGAATTTATATTCAGTGTTCTGTGAAGGTAGTAAAGGACATACTTTTAGAAAGCTTTCCATCAAAACGTTTAAAAGACAGCTTTCTGAAAGTGCCCTTTTTGCGCAGAAATACCTCGTTCCTCGCCTGATGGTGCTGGATAAATGAGGCATCGCTCAGTTAGACTCTCTGCCTTGCTATTTCAGTATCAGAAACATATCATCTGGAAGAAGCTCCAGTGACATAAAGGGAAGAGTTTTGCTAAAAGGAGAAGTCCCCAAAGAATTATCTCAATTTGAAAATGATTGCTTCCTAGGAAGCGAGGCAAGGGTCAGCCCCTTGGAGAGTAGACAAGCTTACGGCGCCTCACGTTGGCAAAGGACTGTGACACAGAGCGAAGACTAGGGTCCCAAGTCCTGCCTGGGAAATTCAACACCTGCCTGGTTGTTGGTGGTTCACCGGGATTACTTCCCCTTCCTCGCTTCCCACACTGCGCCCCCGACCCTTGCAGGAGCCAGCATTTTTTGTGGATTGTTGCTGCGGTCAGTGTGTTCTGTGACTGTGTGTATGGTTGTATGTACGCAAAATTTGCCAGTTTGAAGAGCAGAATTTGGCTGGAGTTCTACTTTTTCTAGGACTGACCTACATGTATTTCCCTTTCACCTACCTGTGAGGCAATAATCAATTTGCCGAGTGCATTCCAGTGTGCCAGGCCTTCCGTTCGGGGCTGACTTTACCAAGATAAAGGAGACAGTGGTCCCTATCCTCTACTGTGCCGCCAAAGGGAGCAGGGGAATGAGTGGGGGCGGGTCTGCAGCCCAGGCTCAGCCTTCCGCTCAGGGCGTGGAGAGGGCTTCTCCCTTGACCTTTAGATTTGGACACGTGGTCGGCTTGAGTTTTGAGGGGAATGTTTGCTAATATATCTCTGCTTCTGATTCACACTCACAAACTTAACGGAGTAGGGAGAAAGTGAGGGCCATTTCTCCAGCAGCTGTGTGTCCCTCCGTACTGGGACCCTCTGCATAGCTAGCTCTGCTATAGCTAGCTCCATCCTCCATTTCTCTGGTCAGATCTGCAAAATGGAGTTCAGCCAGACGGCCTCCCCTACAAGGGGCACGTTTGACCTGGCCATCCCTGACCATGGTTTGGCCCTGGGGGTGCATCTGTGAAAATGGTTCCCCTGCCCCTGCACAGTTTTTGACGAAGGAGGAGATTTGGAGGAAATGAAAACACGGACTAAAAGAGTTAGTGTTTAACTTCATAGGTGTCAGTGAGAGATGGGCAACGTGTCGCCCACGCTGGGTCTAGGGAAAGATGGCAAATGTTGTGAAATTCCACTGGCTTCTAAGTTTGGGTGATTTTTGTCCACTGCTTTGTGGTTTCCTTTCTTGAGAGGACAGGGTAGCTTGTAACTTGTATTGCAAGTACAGCTATTCAGGGATCAGTTGAAAACCTCAGCCAGGAACAGTCCAGGTTTCTTCTCTTGGCCAGATCCTTTTCCCAAATAGGAGAAGAGTGAGGAAGGCTGATCTTAGTCATGGGGAGGTGGGCTGTTCAGACTTCCTTGAAGTAAGGCTCAACAATGCCCAAGGGATTTGCTAGTTCTTCTTGGTCCACCCATCCTATGGCCCTGGGCGGGGTCGTGGACTTCTGTTAATTACGTTTGACCCCAGGTTTAGTAGCAAAACTCTCTTATCAGTGGCGAATCTTCCAAGATTCATACTGAACTCACTTGGGGCAAATTTAAGCCTTTACGGTTGATGATACTGTAACTTGAAAGTCTGTGTTTTCTTCAGTTTGAGAAATTTACAAGTACTACTAAAAGATCTCAAAAAGGTTTTCTTTTTTCCCTGAAATGAAATAAGCATAAAAATAAAGCAGGTATTGCCCAAGTTTTTGCCCTTTCCATGCCGTGACCCTACCTGCCACTGACGAGACTTCCACACCTGTCCGTTGTAGGGGTAACTTTCCTTTTTGACTTCTGATTCCGAACCCCGTGGTTAAACCTCCTTTAAATTGTTCACCTCCCAGATGACAGGCCGGGATCTTCTCAAGGACCGAAGTCTGAGGCCAGTGAAGATTGCCGAGAGTGACATTGACGTGAGTGAGCAGAGTAACAGGCTGACCCCTCACCTGCCTGCTGCCTCCAGACCCAGGGTGGGCAGCTTCGGGCAGGGTTTGGATGGCTCTGTAGCCCAAGGCTTTTGGATCATGCTCCAAGGCCATGGCCTTTTCTCATCATCCCAGGCCCTCTCCAACCTGTTCTTGTTCACAGGTTAAACTGAGCGTCTTCTGTGAACAAGACAGGATCCTCCAGGACTTGGAAGACAAGATACGAGCCCTCAAGGAGAACAAAGTATGTATCAGTTTTGTGTAGTCTTGGGCTGGGTGGCAGGGGTTTTGTCATCCTGTGTTTCCTCAGTATAGACTGGACTCTCATGTTAGTACTGGACAACAGATGTCTGTTTATCCAGAACAACGTCTTTGAATTGAAAGGGTATTTCTTGTGGGGTTTCTGTCTGAACCCAGAGGAAACCTTATAGGGAAACCTCAGCCTACTTATTCCAAGTACTACCTCCCTGACCTTAATTCTGCTCTGGGCCACCCCCACCTCTCCCTGGAAGCCCTGTGAGGTGAGCCTGGGAGAGTACGGCTCCACTGGCTTGCAGTGATGACCCCAGGCCCCTGAACCCCAGGGAAGCGGGGGCTGCCTTGGAGAAAGTGGCCAGAGTCGTAGCAGGGCAGAGGCTCTCACTTCCTAAAGCTCCTTTCCTCTAAGGATCTGGGCCATAGGGGAAGCGAGTCTGGTTGGGAGGGGAGGAATAGGCTGGTAGCCACTGATGTTTGGTCTCTTAGACACTTCGTGTGAATTTTTTCTTTTCCGCATTTTAACAAGGCATTATATTTGTGACGCTCAAGGTTTATAAATAACATGGCCTTTTTATTCAAGTGCTTAGAGAGTTTTCCATCTGTTCTTTGATTTAGCCTCATAGTTTATCCCCTAAGGAGTGGACGGCCTAATGCCCAGTTTATGGATGAGGAAACAGGCACAGGGCTGTTGCGGGATTTGTCCCAGGAGGCCACCCAACGGGCAGAGTCAGAGCTGGAATCAGAGGCCTTGACTCTCAGGCCCCTAGCTGGGTGCTGGCCCCTGGCCCCTTCAGCCTCGGTTAGATCCAGCAGGTTTGCTTAGTTCCTGGCGTGGCGTGGCGGGGTTGGAGGGGACGGCCTCCTGGGAATGTTCTGCCATTCTCTTGCTCTTTGGCCCCGGTCTGTCTGGTGCAGGATCAGCTGGAATCCATGCTGGAGGTGTTGCACAGACAGATGGAGCAGTACCGAGACCAGCCCCAGCACCTGGAGAAGATTGCCTACCAGCAGAGGCTGCTGCAGGAGGACCTTGTCCACATCCGGGCAGAGCTCTCCAGAGAGTCCACTGTGCGTAGAGGGTGTGGAGGGTGGCAGACGCTCCCCTGCCCTCCCCAGCATGGGCTGGCCAGGGGGCTGCTTTTCTCACCTCCCAAGCTGTAGTGGAGTTGGTGGCTGGGGGCGAGAGTCTTGGCATAGGAGAACGCCTCCAGGCTGCCTCCTAACAGTAGCTTATCTTGTCTCTACTGGTGCCTTAAGGTGCTTTCTGCCAGTGACTCCTGGGTGGCTACAGCGACACCCAAGGGGTCAGATGTTTGAGAGCAGCCTGCAAGACTGTTCCCCTGATCTGTGTACAGTTAACTCTGAGACGTCAGAATTTCTACTCTTTTATTTGTCTATCTGATGTGGTACAGGCCCTTTCTGCCAGAGCTGGGAACCAAAGCATCCCCAAGGGTGGGAGAGGGGATGGTGCAGGTGGCCTGTCTGTCTCCCCAGGCCTGCCTGAGACCCACCAGGCTCCCCTTCCCTCTTCCCCTGTCGGGTCAGCAGTGGTCAGGAGCACAGGTGCTCATGGGGCCTTCTGAGGGGTGGGCGTGGCATAACGAAGAATCAGAAGCATTTCCTTGGCCAACAGGAGATGGAAAATGCCTGGAATGAATACCTGAAGTTAGAGAGAGATGTGGAGCAGCTGAAGCAGACCCTGCAGGAGCGACACAGAAGAGCCTTTTTTTTCCAGGTGACCCAAGGGTTCTTCATCCCTTCTGAGCTCTGATTTCTTCTTGGAGTCTTCACCTGTGGGGGATGTTAGCCCTACCCAGGGGCCTTCTCTTTTTGTACCTGGACTCAGCCTGCTCACCACCCCAAGCGCTCCCTTGGGGAACCCTTGCCCCAGCCAGGCTGTCGTGAGAAGCCTCGCCTCAGCTCCCCCTGCCTCTTTGCTCTCAAAGACAAGCTCCTGGGCATTTTTCTAAGGGTTTTACTACTGATCATTTGGGGAAACAGCCCCAAGGGGAGACAGTAGTGACCTAACCTTGCAGATACTTGAGGGTGATCTGTGTTCCTGGTTCTTGGCCCTGCCTTGGGTTCCTAGCTACTCACTTAGCAGCAGGAAGCCCCGCCTCCTTCCCTCCCGGACTCCTGAGGATAGATGTTATCAAGCCTTCACCTGATCAGTAGTGTGAATTCAGGCCAGGTGGGGTGATACCCATTGCTGTGGCCCCTGCCTCACTCAGGAAAGGCAGCCTTAGAGCCCTGCCTTCTCTGCCCTAAAACCAGGCTGCCCCGTTGATAGCTACCTCTGCCTCCAAAGCTGAGAGGAAGAAAGGCCCTGTGTGGTTTTCCTTCTTCCAGGTTGGGTCCTCCAGCTGCCAGTGTTCCCCCATTGGGTACCCAACCAGGCTTCTCCCCCACACTCAAAGTTTTGAAAATGGAAAATAGCCTGCTTTTGAACCTAACTTCAGATCTGTATCTCTTCTTTCAGGACCCTGACATAAATTCTATTTATTTGAATTCAGCAAGCGTTAACTGAGGGTTCTTGTGTACAAGGCAGCCTGTTGGGCCAGTCTGGGGGCCAGGCTTGCTAATTCTAGCCAAGCCTCTTCATTCAAGTGACTTAATGAATGTGTTGACTCTCTTCACATCAGCATCACCCCAGAAAACTGAAGGAATTCAGGAGGAGGTTTAGGTTTGTGGACTAGGAGGCTTTTCCCAGGCCCTGCTATGCTTCCACTCACCTCCACTCAGCGCTCTAGAGCTGGTCCCAGAGAGCCTGGGCTAGGCGTATGTGGAGGAGACTCTTGCCTGTAGTTCAGGGTTGGCCTGTGAGGTCACGCAGAACTTGTCTGTCTCCTGTGGCTGTTGGGTTTTTCCCATAATTTCCCTTCATTTGAGCTAACATTTTCCTCTTCTTTTTGTATCCCCAGTATTTAGCATAGTGGCTTGAAAATAAATAGGTGAATATTGTTGGCAAAGTCCTTTAAACAATTGTTTCTAGTTACTAGTTCCTTGAACTGTTCGGTCTCATTAGACTTATCTTCTTGGACTTCAACCATCCACATTAATTTCAGCCATAATTTTTTTTTTAGCTTTTCATTCCTTATGTTTCTTTAATTATACAGAAAACACATAAATGCATCTCCCTGGAAAGTCCAAACAATGAGAAGCAAAACTAAAACAGGACACAAAAGCCCCTCCTCCCTCCTTCCCTTCTCTGCCCAGTCCCTCACCTTCCCAGCATGTAATCAGTGCCATCGGTTTGCAGTGTTGCCTTCCAGACCATTTTCTGTGCATTTCCAAACGTATGCACGTACATAGTATCATATAATTTATTGGGGGGAGGGAGTTGGGCTTACTTAAACAGGAATCATACTTACACATTGTTTGGTAACTTGCTTTTCTTGTCATAACTGTATGAAATGGAAATCTTTCCAAGAAAGATACCCCCAAGTTTATGCTGCCCTGTATGGTAGCTATTTAAATTTAAACATAAATTAATTAAAATTAACTAAATTAAAAATATATTCCTTAGCCACACCAGAATTATTTCATGTGGCTAGCGGCTTTCTGTATTGGACAGCACAGATTATGGAAGATTTACATAATCTCAGAAATTGTATTAGACATTGTTGGTCTTGATGCTACAGGTTTCATAGTGTGTGGATATCCCATACTTTATTTAGCCATTCCTCTTCTGATGGGCATTTAAATTATTTGCAGTGTTTTGCTTTTATAAATGGTATCACAGTGAGCATCTGTGTAACTGCCTTTAGAGCTTGTTTATGAGCATTTATCTAAGATAGGCTCCTAGGAGTGGACTTGTTGGGTTGACTTGAGTGTACATATTAAATGTTGGCAGATACCGCCAAATCACCCTCTAAAAGGCTGCACTCATTTGCCCTCCCACCCATAGTGCATGAGAGTACTGAACCTGTTTACCCACATCCTTGCCAACACTTGATGTTATCGGTCTTCTTAGTTTTTGCCAGTCTGCGTGCTGAAAAAGGACATCATGTTTTTATTTGCATTCATTTAATTACTAGTAGGTTAAACATCTTTTTTTATGATTATTGGCTATTTGTATTTCTACTGTGCCTTACTTCGTGGTAATGTAACATACAGCAGGCCCAGGATCTTTTTTTCCCTCCAGAAAACAAATGGGTGCCGTGTATAGGTCTTGTCACGGACCTTCTAGAGAACTTAGCCCTGTAAGTCACTAGGAGATAGGCCAGTCTGAAGCCTGGTCCCTGCAGCTTGATTTCCACCTAGCCTAGTGGCATTGCTCATGCTTTCCCTGAGTGCCACAATGACCCGGGAAGCTCACAAAGCCTTTCTTTGAGCCGGCTCTGTGCTAACTGCTTTGGTGTAATTCTAGGCCAGGCAAGCTGTTAGAGTCCTGAATAAATCATTGACGCTGGAGATAGGCTTGCAGCCCCATATGCAAATTCTCAGCAGTGGGGCTTGGAAACTCACCCCTCTTTAGCCAGGGTTGGCTGTGAGAAAACCCATAGCCTTTTGAGTAAAGATGAGTAGCTTTATTTATGAAGATCCTCATGGCCACCCAAGCAGGGAAACCAGAGGGTAAGAGAACTTCCAGGTAACCCTGAGAGTCAGTGAGAGGTGAGGCTACGTGTAGGTGTCCCTACGTCTGGACAGTGAGTTCAAGCCTTTGCTGAATGTAGTACATTGGAGCCTTCCTGCTCGGTGTGATGTGAGGATACAGGTATGAAACCCCACTCTCGTGTTCCCCAAAAGCTTCCTTCACCTTGTCGTTAAGTTCTGAAATTCCATCGTCCTTGGATTGAAGTTCTCTGGCCTTTGCTTCTCTCTGCTCTTCTCTTACACGTTGAGGTGACAGGCAAAATGGGGGCAGGATTGTGAACTGACAGGTAGAAGTACGCCAGGTAGACTGCCAGGGGAGGAAAGAGAGAGAGAGGGAGAGATGATCTTAACCCCATGCTCCTTCTTCACCTGTTCCCAAACACTCTGCTTGGGGACCTCAGCTCTAGAGATAATCCTGTTAGCTCAGTAACATGTCTGTTTTAGGACACTCGTTCTTTAGTGGGGAGCTGAGCATTAAGCCTGTTATTTGCTTATCAGCCCTGAGGATGTGCACTGGCGTTGGAAGGGTGGAGAGAGTATGAGAGTGTGAGCTCCCCTTAGGAGGGAGGCTTCAGACGTCTGTTGTTATGCCTGTTAGATAGTATTTGATCAGGGAATTTTATGTGATTGGTCCTTTATTTATTCAGCATACATGTACTGAGAACCTGTTCACTGCCCAGCCCTGTGGGGATGTATCCAGGAGCAGTGGTCCATAAATATCACACACGTGAGAAGTCTTCCAGTTGAGGCCAGCGATGTACCTGGAAAGGAGATAGGGGTGTGGAGCCTTCCTTTTTAAGTCCATGGGGTGGGACCATGATAATTTTTTAAAAAAGAATACCATATCTGATGTTTACACAACTCGATTAAAAGGTGCCCACGACCCTTTAATCACAGCAGACCCTGCTCACCTCTTTCTAGGGCCTCTTCCCTGGTGGTTTGGGTGTAGCTTCTCAGAGTTTGCGCATGGTTGTATAGCCTGCCTCTTTTCCCATCGTACTTTTAAAAAAAAATAACAGCTTTATCATGTAATTCACATACCATAAAATTCACTATTTTAAAGTATGTAATTCACTGATTTTTTTTTTTTTTTTTTTTTTTTTTTTTTAGCACATTCACAGAGTCGGGTAACCATCCCCACAGTCAGTTGTGTAACATTTCCATCAAGCCCCCAAAGCAACCCGGTACCCATTTACAGTCACTCCCCACCCCCACCCCAACTTTCTACCCCTGCTCTAGCCAAGGACTAATCTACTTCCTGTCTTTATGGACTTAATCTATTCTGGACGGTTCCTATGAATGAAACCATACAGGATGTGGCACTTTGTGTCCGGCTTCTTTCACTTAGCATCATGTTTCCAAGGTTCATCCATGTGGTAGCAGACATAGTACTTCATTCCTTTTTACTGCCAAATAATATCCACTGCCCCTTATACTAAATCCCACATCCCAAGATTCAGCTCTGTCTTCAAAAAGATGCCCTTTATGTTCTAGGGATGGTGTAACCTCTAGTCCTTGCCTTCTCTTCCCTTCCGCCGTGGTTGCCTAAGACAGTCTTTTTTTAAATTGTAAGATATATGTAGCATAAAAACTTACCTAACCATTTTTAAGTGTACAGTTTGGTCCTGTTAAGTGGATTCACATTGTTGTACAGCCAATCTCCAGAAATGTTTTTCATCTTGAAAAACTGCAACTCTGTACACATTAAACAACAATCTGCATTCCCCCCTCCCCCCAGCCCAAAGTGGAGCTCTGTACCCATTAACAAAACAATCCCTGTTCCCCCTTGTCCCAGCCTCTGGCAACCACTCTTCTATTTTTCTGTCTCTGAATTTGGCTACTTTAGATAACCTCATATAAGTGGAATCATACAGTATTTAAGGGAGTCTATTTTTAAGTGAGGTGGAAACAGGAAAGGTAGACTGTGAGAGCTTCTCTGAAACTTCTCCCCTGGACCTTGGGCGTCTTTCACGTCTGCACTTGCCCAGGAAGCCATGAAGCGGGCTTGGCTGTAGACCTGGTGGGGTTTCCAAAGGGTATACTGCCCCCCAGGGTGAGGGGCTCTGTCTGAATGACAGCAGAAGTCCTAAGAAGAAACTTCTGGTGAGGAGCTAAGAAGGAAGTGAACCCACTGCCTCCTCTTCCTCAGGAGAAATCGCAGATACAGAAGGATCTCTGGAGGATCGAAGATGTCACTGCAGGCCTGAGTGCAAATAAAGAGAACTTCAGAATCCTGGTGGAATCGGTCAAAAATCCGGGTGAGCGGGCCATCTTCCTGGGGGTGGGGGTGGTGGAGGCCAGCGCCTGGAGCCTGGGGGATGGCCCCTGGGGAGGTCGGGCCTTCGTGGCCTAAGTCACTCCCCTTGTCCTCTGAGGAAGAGGGTCTTTGTTTCATCGCACCCTTTGCTTCTCTCCACACCCCTCAGAGAGGAAAACAGTGCCTTTGTTTCCTTACCCGCCTGTGCCTTCAATCTCCTCTTCTGAGAGCAAGCCGTCCCTGCTGCCCAGCCCTCCCACCAGCCCCATGCGGACCCCTCTGGAGGTTCGACTCTTCCCCCAGCTGCAAACCTACGTGCCGTACCGACCTCACCTGCCCCAGCTGAGGAAGGTGATGTCTCCCCTTCAGTCACCAACCAAGACGAAGCCCAAAGTTGTGAGTATTGATGACCAGGAGCTGGGCGCTGTCGTTTCCTCTCTGGCAGACGATTGTCCTTCTCTGTCCTCAGGTCCTCTTCTCTTGGGAGAGAAGCTTTTAGGGAAGCTTGGGGAGACAGACCAGCCAGAGTCCTGAGGGGTTCCTGAGCCATGAGCAGTTAAGGAGAGGTAGGGACTCCTGCCGTTGTGCTTAGTCTCCCAGAACTGGAAGGGCCCTTAGAGGCGATCTAGCCCACTCTCCCATTTTGCAGCTGGGAAAACTGAAGCCTAGCAAGAGGCAGTGACTGCACTGAGTAGGGTAGCATTTGTGATCTGCATCGTGCAGAGAAGTGTGTGGCTGCCCCATGCAGGGCTCCGTGCAAACCTGCGGTTTGGGCAGTGAGCTCATCTTAGCAGAAGAGTATCCTTATCTCCACCTGCAGCTGAGGATCGTGCTGGGTGGTGAGGATACATGTGATCTTCACAGTAACCTCCCGGAGTATAGACAGGAAGGTCAGCATCTCCATCCCACAGATAAGAGAACTGAGGCCCAAGGTGTTAAAATTTGCACGAGGTCTCCATATTAGTTAGTGGATCCAATCCACATCTCCTGCCCATTCTTTGTGCCATCTGACATGTAACTGGACATGCAGCCCTGGTCCTCAGGTTAGGTATGTGGCCTGTGTGGTTGCCTGGGCCAACACCTTGGCTTACCTGGCATAGAGAGGGGCCATGCCTTTGGCTGAGTCTGGGAGCACAGAAGACGCTAAGGAAATAAAAGATGTGGTCCAGTACTGTGATAGCTCATGTTTCCAGGGCAGGCCAGCCTTGGCTGGAAAACATGAGGGGGCTGGTCCAAGTGACAGGGAAGCTATAGCAGAGGGGACCTTGGAATGGAGACCTCTAGGTTTTCGCCAACAAGGGCTTGAAGGAGCTTTGCCTGGGCACCGTGTATGCTTAGGACATCTGACAAGATCAGTGCACAGTTCACACGAGTTCCCATACCTGGTCTTCACCGTTCACCTGCTTCCAGCCATGGTCTAGAGCCCAGAGCTGGAAGAAATGGTGCAGGGAACCAGGGTCATTGTGAACTTCTTTATCTTGAGATTTCCTTCCCACTCCCAGATCTAAGAGTCATGGAGCACCAGCCACAAAACAGGAGGTGGAAAATAGCAAAACAAATAGCAGGAATGGCTGGGACAGACAGGTGCTAATATAATGCAAGATGCCTGCCTCCTGGGACGAGGAGCAAAGGGAAAAAGGCCTGTGAGCAGGACTGCCTGGATTCCAGCCCTTGTCTGTCTCTGGGTCTTCAGGCAAGGCCCATACCCTCTCTGAGCATCCTCAGTTTCCCCTTGTGCAGAACAAGCAGCTTGAAATAGATGAGGACAGAGGCTCCTCTCCATAGCTTGGTTGCTGTGGCTTGGAAGCAGGGCTTTTCAACTTGGTTGAGCATCAGGGTCCCCAAGGTGGGTGGGTCTTCTCTCCCCTCCTCCTAGTTGTATATATGTTCACCAGTTTTACCATTTTTGTTGTTGGTTGCTTGTTTTATATTTATTTTTGTGAAACAATGATATCCATCCTGAAATTGACATAAAACATGGATATTGGGCTTCCCTGGTGGCGCAGTGGTTGAGAGTCCGCCTGCCAATGCAGGGGACGCGGGATCGTGCCCCGGTCCGGGAAGATCCCACATGCCGCGGAGCGGCTGGGCCCGTGAGCCATGGCCGCTGAGCCTGCGTGTCCGGAGCCTGTGCTCCGCAACAGGAGAGGCCACAACAGTGAGAGGCCCGCGTACTGAAAAAAACAAACAAACAAACAAAAAAACATGGATATATAATTTAGTAAATAATAATGAAGAGACTACCCATTTCATACCAACACTCAGACCAAGAAATAGGACTTTTTTTTAAAAATTAATTTTTATTGGAGGATGGCTGCTTTACAATGTGGTTATCCTCCACTGCACAACAAAATGAATCAGCCATATACATACAGATATCTGCTCCCTTTGGGACTTCCTCCCATTAGGTTACCACAGTGCATTAGGTAGAGTTCCCTGTGCTATACAGCATGTTTCCATCAGTTGTCTATTTTATACATAGTATCAATAACGTATATGTGTCGATCCCAGTCTCCCAATTCCTCCCACCCCACCCCTTTCCCCCATGGTATCCTTACATTTGTTCTCTACGTCTGTGACTCTAAGAAATAGGACTTTGCCAGCAATCAGAAGCCCTTGGGCCTGTGGGTCCCTTCCCAGTGTAGGCCCTTTCTCTTTCTCCCAGAGGTAACCACTATCTTGACTTTTTTGATAATTTCCTTGCTTTTTTGTTTTGTTTTGTTTCCCTACCTATATTTGCATCCAAAACACTTCTATTTTGCCCATATATAATACTGTGTTTATTCTTTCATATCTTGCATCCTTTCAACAATATGTTTGTGAGATTCACCCATATTGTTGCATGTAGCTATAGTTCTTTCTTTTTTTTTTTTTTTGTGGTACGTGGGCCTCTCACTGTTGCGGCCTCTCCCGTTTCGGAGCACGGGCTCCGGACACGCAGGCTCAGCGGCCATGGCTCACGGGCCCAGCCTCTCCGCGGCATGTGGGATTTTCCCAGTCCGGGGCACGAACCCGTGTCCCCTGCATAAGCAGGCGGACCCTCAACCACTGTGCCACCAGGGAAGCCCAGTTCTTTCATTTTTATTTGGATTTTCTTAAATTTAATGTCTTTTTTTTATTAAACAATACTCTGAAAGGGTACAAAATCAAAGGATATAAAAAAATATGTAATAAAATGTCTCCCTTCCACCCTGTGTCTTCAGACATTCTATTCCCTTCACTCAAAGGCAATCAATGGTTTGCGTTTATCTTTCTGGGGGGCTTTTTTAGGAATTGGTGATTCCAAGATCTTGTCAGGATTTGGAAACCACTGATGCTCAGAGAGCCTCTGGGTATCTTAGGTCAGCAGCTTAAACTTCACACAATAATGAAATGTGTTGCTTTAGAAGAGTGCTGATAAACTTTTGCAAAACAAGCTTACAGCACCCTTTCCTGAACTCTGAAAAACAAAGCAAAATGAGGCTAAGAAAGGGGGTGGTTAGGAGGAAGGAGTCTGGATGGACATTTGTGCCAGGAGTGGGTGTCCATGGCAGTCAGGGGCCAGGCTGTCGGTCTGTAGAGAGGCCACAGCCCTCGGAGAGCATTGTGGACAGGGGGGTTCAAGGAAAATAGTTACATTCATCCCAGCCCAGGGAGTGGGCTGTGGAGAAGGCAGTGAGTCACCCATCCTGACTGCCTATTCTGTGCCTGAGTCAGGAAGGAGGAAATATTTTGTAACCATGTGCATTTCTGATAGAAAGGGCAGGAGGATGTAGATGGTCCTTGCTCAGATCCCCAGCCTGCTGAAGGATCCAGAGACAGTGCAGGGACCGCGGGCTGGCTCCGTCTGAGCATGGTGGGATGGGGTGGCGGTGGTGGGGTGCTGTCATAAACATACAGGTAAACACAGAGTTACCAGCCTGCCTCCCCTGATGGTGCACTCCGAGCCAGTGGAATGAGAGTGTGGACCCGTGTCCTGAGTTCTGCATTGTGTGTAGATCACACTTTGAAAAATGGAAGATGTGTGAATCAAAGGGAAGGATGGGGTTGGAGCAGAGACGTCTCCCGACCTCACAGCTCAACCAGGGGAAACGTTGGCATCTTTGGGCTGAAGTGGTCACTCCCTGCAGACCCAAGGTGTCCTGCTCCTTCCCTTTGGGCCACCACTATGATGGTGCCACTGAGCATCCTCTCACCGGGCACTGGTTCTGGTTTTGTTTCTGAGCAGGAAGACGAGGCACCTCCCAGGCCCCCGCTCCCTGAGCTCTACAGCCCGGAGGACCAGCCCCCGGCCGTGCCACCTCTACCGAGGGAGGCCACCGTCATCCGGCATACTTCAGTGAGGGGCCTCAAGCGGCAGTCGGACGAGAGGAAACGAGACCGGGAGCAGGGGCAGTGTGTGAACGGGGACTCGAGGGTGAGCAGGGGGAACCCCTGGGGTTGCCCCGCTGTGTGTGGGGAGAGGGACGGCGGCGGGGCAGGTGTGACGGCCTCAGACTCTGCCCACAGGTGGAACTCCGGTCATACGTCAGTGAGCCTGAGCTGGCGACCTTCAGTGGGGACATGGCCCCTCCCTCCCTGGGACTCGTGGGCTCTGAGAGCAGGTACCAGACGTTGCCAGGCAGAGGTAAGGCGAGATTTTCCATGGAGTCTTCCTGGGCGTCCCCGCCACTGCCACACCACTGCTCCCCAGCCCTACCCGGTCCTCACACCCTTCTGCCTGCAGCGTGGGGCCTCAGCCTGGGTAGCAGCTGTCAGCCGACTCTGGGCTGTAGGGAGGGCCTGTCCGTCCTGCCTCTGGCTCACATCCTGATTCTCATCCTCTTTTATTACATCTTCCCCCGGGAGCAATGATAATAGCAGTTACTATAAAGCCCAGTGCTGTTTTAAGCACTTTATTATATTCACTTAGTTAAGATTCATGGTAATCCCGTGAGGGAAGTACTATTTTTATCCCCATTTTAGAGATAAGAAAACCAAGGCCCAGAGAAATGAAACAACTTGCCAATTAGCCAATAAGTGATAGAGCCAGAATCCCACCCTGCAGGCTGGGATGTTGGGTGACTGTCATCAGCTTGGCCATCCCATCCCATGCCTTCCAGAGACTTTTCTCCTCTTCTGTGTCACTCTAAGACTCAATGAGTCCTTTATTTAAACAAACACACCTTTCACCTCAGTTGGGTCTTCTCACTCTCCTCCCCTATCCCTTTGAGATGGGGGTGGGAACAGATTTAGGCCATTAGGCTCACCCATGCCCTATTTTTCCCCATAGCCAGATCCTCTTTCTGAAATCCTTTTAAAAGGAGGCCATCTGGAACCCCAGAGCAGGTTGACCACACTCCCTCATTTGGTGGGAGGTCAGGCGCTTTCCCCCCTTGACAGGGTGTGGAAACAGGAGGCCACAACGCCATGATTTGGGCTCCTATGGGGTTATGTGACTCCCAGCCCACCATGCTGTGCAGGCTTGCTGTGTCCTGGAGGGGACTGGCTTTTGCCGAGTTGGGCCACAGCAACCCTTGGCACTGTGCCTGGGGACCCTTTTCCCTTCTTTCTTTACAGCCTAGAGGTGTTGATCAATGGCAGTGTTAGTGGCCTGTGGGCAGGACAGTTCTTTGTCGCTCAGGAGTCTCTGGGCATTGCAGGACATTTATCATTCTTTTTCCTACGTGCTAAATGCTGGTGGAGTCCTCAGTGTGATGCCCGTTTCCAGATGTCAGGGACCAGCCTTGCTAAGAATGTTGCTAGTGGAGAAAGCATGGGCTGAGGCTCCGTGTGACCTTGGACAAGTTGCTTAACCTCTCTGAGCTTTAGATTGCGTACCCCCACAGTGGTTAGGTAATGCTACTTTGTAGGGCCAGCGGGACAAAATCTATATGAAATGCCTGGCACGATGCCTGCCTGTTATATAGTAAGTACTCAGTAAATGCTTGGTGCCTTCTTCTTTCCACTCTTCATTTATTCATTCAGTCATTTATTCATTCAACCAGGCATTGTTGAATTTGTAGACAGGCATGTTGACACTGTGGTCAGTGCAGTAACCAGTGAATATACTGAAGAATACAGGGAATAACTGATTCTGCCTGGAGCATTTGAAAAGGCTTCTCACAGGCAGGCATCCAAGTTGGGTCACACAGTATGCATAGGAGTTCATCAGGAGGAAGTGATGCAGGGCATTCCTCACCCTCCATCCTTTCCTCCTGCCAAGCAGCCCAGGTCTTCTGCATGTGAGGGAAGACGAGGGTAGTCCCCAGATCTTCCTTAGGGGACAGAGGGCACCCATGGGCTGGCCCCTCATTCCCTACCTGGGGCCTTGCTCTTCCGGGCCCTGGGGAGGAAGAAGCGTGGGTTGTTGGCTGGGTCCTCGTGGTCCCCTCACGGGAGTGAGAGTTGATCAGGAAGGGGCTGGTGGCCTATCCTCCTCACCACAAATCCACTTGCATTTCTCTTTCCTCACTAAGGGCTCTCGGGGTCCACGTCAAGGCTCCAGCAGTCGTCCACCATTGCTCCCTACGTCACGCTTCGGAGGGGTCTAGATGCCGAAAGCAGCAAGGTGACCTACCCTGTGAGTGGCCTTGAGAAGTTCCTGAGGGGCTCACTGCTCCCTCACGCACAGAGGGAAGGGCTCTGAGGTAGACGGTAACTGGGATCTTGTCAGGTGACCCCTCCAGAGCTCAGATTCCCTGTCACCATGTGCTTATGATGCCTTCACCACTGCCCACCAAGAAGGGCATCACACTGCCCTCCCCATTTCCCAAGGGGCTCCCACCTTTCTCCCCAGTCTTGCCCAGTGAGTCACACCCTGAGTTGTGGCCCATGATGTGCTTCTGCTCAACTGGACAGGCCTGGGCCTCAGTGTCTGCATCTGCAGAATTGGGTGCTGCCCAGAGAGCCCGTGAGGGCCAGCGGTATCATGTCCACGAGTGTGCTTAGAGGAGGTGCTTCTCAGTGGCCAGGAGGAGCCCAACTGGAGTGTGTGTGTGTGTGTGTGTGTGAGAGAGAGAGAGAGACAGAGACAGAGACAGAGAGAAAGAAAGACGGGGATGAAGCCGGCAGGGCGGCTGCCCTCTGTGTTCCCAGCCCAGCTGCCCTGTCTGTCCCTCCTGCCCCTCAGAGACCCAGGAGTGCCTTGGAGCGCCTGTACTCAGGGGACCACCAGCGGGGCAAGATGAGCGCGGAGGAGCAGCTCGAGCGCATGAAGCGGCACCAGAAGGCGCTGGTCCGGGAGCGCAAGAGGACGCTGAGCCAAGGAGAGAGGACGGGTCTGCCCTCGTCCCGCTACCTCGGCCAACCACTCCCTGGAGATCTCGGCTCAGTATGTTAGGAGGGTCCAGGCAGGCGGGGCTGGGACAGGGAGCAGAGCTTCCCCGAGTCCCCCAGACACAAGCACTTCTCAGCGCCGAGGGAGTGGGCTGTCGACCTGGATGGCTCAGAGAACACCCCCACGGGCTGTGTGTCCACAAGCCGGGACGCATGTGTGACTTGGTCAGAGGGCGCCCCGGAACTAGAGCAGGAACGAGGATGTCACTGCAGGAGCCCAGGAGCCAGAGAGAACATCCACAGTCAGTTCTGCAGTCGAGCTTGAGGGAGGCCTTTGTAAGCATTTGGAGTCTCTCAGCTGAACCAAGGACTTGGGAAGTACAGGGTTCGAGGAGTGGAGGAGAAAGGTGGTGCTATGATTTGAGGAGGAGGAGTGCAAGCCAACCAGCCTCCCAGACCTCCAAGCGGGTGCCCTGTGGGGCAGCTGAGCAGAGGGTGGTGGCCCTCACCTCTGAGGACTGGGGCTCTCCCGCCACCACGGTGCTGACGGGCCTCCCCATGCCCCAGGAGAGCCGGGGCGTCTGCTGCCCCTGGTGGTGCTTCCAGGCACTGCACCCTGCCCACTGTCGCCTTAGGTCCCTTTTGGAAACATTCCATTTGACTTTTCCCTGTTGTTTGAAATCAAATGTTTCCCTAGACCTCTAGCCTGACTGCTCTTCCCCTAATTCATTGCACAAGCTCTTTTGCTTTTAGCGTTACCGCTCATTGCCTCTCTAATCCTGCCTGATTGTGTCTACAGACGCTTCTAATTTGCATCAACCATTCTCTAACTGGCCTGTGCTCTTGTTACCAGGCTTATAATAGCAGCTCTTCTCTCCGTAGCCTAGTGAGCACTCCCATGTGTGACTCACCTTTCTGCCGCCCCCTTTATGCAGGCTTACTGACTCATAATTCCCTTATCCCAAAAGCTGCCCCACAAGTTTGAGCCAGCCCCACTGCCTGAGGGCCGTGGTCATTGTCAGAGGTCTGGGCATGATGAATTTATCAAAGTCCATGCCTCACATCTGGACAGTAGACACAGACTTCAGAGATTGCATGTTGGAATAAATTCTGCCAAGTCTGAGGTGGTTCAGTTTTAATTCCTCCGGCCCCATCGGCACAATTTCTTATGGAAAACTTTTTGTGTTTCTAGTATTTAATAACTTGAACGGGTAGCAAGATACATTATGATCTGTATTCAGAGGGCCTCTCTGCAGCTGTTAGCTCAGACACCAAAGGGGTAAGACCCAGGATACTCATATCCTGAAAAGCTGCAAAGCCAGTAACTTTTAAACTTTATAAGTAAGTGTCATATGAGGTAAAACTGACTTTTCACAACCTGATGTCTCAAATGTAGAAAAATGATCTAAAAATCGTAACTTGAATACCTTGTAATTTTTCTTTTTAAGAAAAAAGACTTGTGTAAGTCTCTGCCTCAGCGCCAATAAACGTGTTGCTTAATGATAATGGATTGGCGTGGTTCTTCCCCAGGATACATTGTAGAGTCCAGTGAACTTTTTCTGTTTGTGGAAACAATCAGGCTGGGTTTATGTGAGGTCTTGTCTCTCTTTGGGGCACTGGTGAGCGTGTAAGAAAATGTGTGTTTTCTTTGTGAATCATGAAATTAATTTTTCATCCCTGAATCTTCAACTGCCTAATCCTTTTACACTTTAATTGGAAGCCATCACCTAAAAGCGATTACGTTGACGTAGAGTCAGTATGGAGAGCTTGTGCACGAATGGGTGAAATGTGCTGCTATGGCCGTGGGTTTGGGGCCTGGGTGAGTGCGGGCTTGAGGGGGCATTAAAGACAACGGTGACCACTTGGGGCTCTGTGAGGCGGGTGGGGTGGGAAGGAGAAGGCAACCTGGGATGGAGAAGCGTCTGCTTGGCTTCTGCTCAAGAAAAGGCAGGCTTTGGGCCCGTTCCCTCCTCTCAACAACCTGCTCAGCGTCGAGGCCTGTGGGGATGCAGGCCACAGGTGATTAGGAAGGCCGCGGCGGAGCCAAACCGTTGTGCTGGGATCTTAAAGTGGCTGGGTTAGAGTTTCCCTCTGTGAAGCCTGCTTGTTACAGAGTTGGAATTGTTGCATTTGATTCAGCATTTAAATTTTACATGTGTTTGGTTTTTCTAACTTAAAACATCTGCCCCAAATAGCTGCGTGATACGCAGCAGCTTATCGGCCTCCCTGGCCGCAAGCTGCTCCTCTTGCACCTCCCCAGTCCCACCGTGGGGGCATTATTCCCCACCCTTAACTGTGCCCTACTGGGACTGCCCACTAGAGAGGCTCTTGGCTATTCCACTCGCTTACCAGGGCCTCAGAGGGTTTGTTTCGCCCATTGTTTCTGAGCTGGAACAACATATGGCTCCCGAACCAGAAGGGCTTCCGTGATCTGTCATGCAGCAGAAGCGGCAAACCTCTTCTCTTGAGCTCTGTCCCAGCTTCTGTTTTAGGGTCACCTTCTTGGACCTGGGAGCCTCCTGTATCCCTGGGGACCCTTGTGAGTCTGAAGTCGTGGATCTTAGACCCATGCCCGGGAGGTTTGGACACTTTGGGGCCCATATCAGAGAGAAATCAGCAGTCTGGAGTCCGGCTGTATCAAAGGGGCAGAGGCCTTGTTCTCTCTGTCCCAGAGTTTCAGAACACAGCAGAGACCATCCGTGTCACAGGATTGCTGCTGCCTTGTTTTAGAGATGAGGTTGAGGTCCATGGTCACACAGCTTTTCGCTAATGAGTCACAGGCCCATCTTCCCAAGGGCCCCAGTGCCTGCAAGACCTACCCAAAAGGGATCGCCAGGAAGTGACTACATTTCACCCTCTTGTTCTGTTACCAGTGGAAGCGCGAGCAGGACTTTGACCTGCAGCTGCTGGAACGGGCCGTACCAGGGGACAGAAAGGACAAGGAGGAGAATGGCTGGCTGAAGGTGCAGGCTATGCCTGTCACTGAGTTGGACCTGGAACCACAAGACTATGACGTGGACATCAGCAGAGAGGTGAGGGCAGGGGCTTCCTTCACGCTGCCCCCAGGAGGCCCAGCCTTCAGATGCCAGCCTGACCAACCCTCCCAGGGGCATGGAGCGGAGCGGGGTGGGGGGGGTTGTTGCCCTGAATAAGGACAGGCTCCGTCTCAGTGTGGCCCAGGAGGATGGATGGACAGCACCTGGAGGTAGTAAGAGGAGACCAGACATTTTGATGCAGGTTCAGAGCTGTCTCTCTTTGTAATTTGTGGCAAGTCATTTAACTTCTCTGTGCCTCAGTTTCCTCAGCAGTAATGTGGGTTGTGGGGAGGGTTAAGTGACTCAGCACATTGCCCGAACAATTAGCAATGATCAGAAAGCTGTGAGCACAGGGCCTGGCACATGGTAGGCAGGTGATGAGGTAGTTGTTACTGTTAGCATATGTTCCCTGGAAAACCAGGGGGACCAACCAGGGTTGGTCTTGCATCCGGCCAGTCAGGCCAATTTGGGCAGTCAGACTTGGGGAAAAGGCAGGGCAGGTTTAGAAATCACAGGTGAAATATCCAGCCATGGCAGAGGCTAGGAGACCTGGATAGGTCTGGTCTGGGTTATTTCGCCCTCTGGTGGCTCAAACGCATCATGGCCGGGCAGGCCCAGAAAAGCAAGTAACTGCAGTCAGGACCGTCTCTTACCCAAGGGAAGAGAAAGGGAGTCAGAGCGTGACACACTTAGGGTCTTCAAGACATAGGGTGGTCTCCTGTGGCCTATGTTGTGCCATTTGTAAGCTCTGTAGAGCAGTGTCTTTGGCTGTTTGGTTCACCTTTGTGCACCCAGCACCAGGCCTGGCACACAGTAGATGCTCTGTAAATATTTGCTGAATGACGGCTCTGTTGAATGAAGTGCACAGATAGCCCAAACACATTTGTATGAGGACTTGGCCTGGCCTGAAACTGCATGAGACGAAATGCTCTCACCACATGAAGGATAGATCAGACAGGATGGGGGCAAACTGACGCCTGTGGAGTGGCTGGGTTCTGGGATCAGCAGGGGCTCCAGGGTTTAACGAGGTTGGTCCCCTGCCTTCAGACCTTTTCGCTTTGGCACCTCTGAAACAGCCAAAGGTCCGTGCTTTCTCAGGTCCACAAAAGAAGCTTCTACACACTGCCTTGGCAATGGAAGTGCATTTTGCGGTGTCCTAATTGGCCTGCCAGCCAGGGGAAAAAGTTCTTCCTTATCTCTAACCTAAATCCCTCCTGCTACAATGTAATCTGCTTCCTTCCTCTGCATCTGTCCTCATGGGAAATAACAGAAAAGAGATTATTTCTTGCCATCTTTCACCAGAATGAAAGGTCTGCATGGGCTTAAATTCAAGTCCAGATTTGCCCTGGGATTGGATTTAGCTTGTTTTTGGAAGTTTCAATCAGCCCCATTTTAATGTAGTTCAAGGAAGAAAAAAATTCCCTGAGGTGTGTGCAAAAGTTGCCTTTAGCGCTCTTGGCCCACGTCAAGGTTCACCAAGCTGAGGTTGCTGTTGGGTTTGTGTGAGACACTGGTGAGGGGAGGAGCTGGGGTCATTTTCCTCTTGAGAGCAGTAGATTCAATGTGGCTGCCTTCTGTCTGGGTCTTTTGTAGGGGCAGAAAGCACTATCACTTTCTTTCATCCCTCCACCCAGCCACCCAGACACCCATCCAAGAAGTGTTTGCTGAAGGGCTGCTAAGTACCAAGTCCCTGCTCTAGACAGTGGAGAAACAAACAGGAAATGGGAGGGAGTGGCAGGGGTGGGTGGATGGGAGAAGGAGGGTCAGGGAAGCTTTCTGGAGGTGAGGTTGGGAGGATGAGAAAGAGGCCATGGAGCCCAAGGAAGGAGAACCCCAGGCAGAGGAAAGAGCAGGGGCCGAGGTGGGTCAGTGTGGCTGGAGAGGTCAGATCACATCAAGGGTAGCTTTTAGGGTGATCATTTGTATCCTCAGGGCTTACTGGTCTAGTTATTTCGCCTTCCCCCTTCCCTTCCCTTGGCCTGTAGGAGGTTGCCTGGTACGGTAGATAGAACACGGGCTTTGGAGTCAGACCCAGATTCAGATCGGGACTGCACAGTGAACTGCCACTGTGATCTTAGCAAGTTACTGAAGTCTGCGGGCTCCTCCGCGTGCCTCATGGTGGGGGACAGGATGGGGGGAGCAGGTCCCAAACCCAACGTCTGTGCCTCCCACCACCTTTCCTCAGCTCTCCAAACCAGAGAAGGTCTCCATCCCCGAGCGTTACGTGGAGCTGGATCCTGAAGACCCGCCCAGCCTGGAGGAGCTGCAGGCGCGGTACCGCAAGGCCGAGAAGATCCGTAACATCCTTACCCGGTCCAGGTCAGCCCTCCTGCTGCCTGAGTCCTGACGACCCGCTAGGCCGACCCCAGGGGTGTGTCAGCTGAATGCGCCCCGGGCTGGGCTGGCCGGGGAGTGTGTCATGCCAGGCCTCCGTCTCAGACCAGCGCTGCTCATGGTAAGGAGCAGGCCGGCTCTCAGCACGTCACCCGCAGATCAGCGAGGGAGCTTGCCCAGGTCATCCGGGAGGTCTAAAGCACTCAGAGGGCCATCCTAGGCCCTTGGCCCCAAATCTGGGTCCCGTGGCCCTGGCAAGCGTGGGGAGTGGAGCCAAGTGTGGTGGTGAAGTGGACACGGTTGGAGATAGGCCCCAAGGACGGCCCTCCCAGCCTTAGGGCCCTTGTTCCCTCACACAGACCCCCAGACCACAGCCAGGGGCCCAGCCTTGTCCTGAGGTGCCAGAGGCCTTGCCCACATCCCTGGAGGCCAGGATGGTAGCCTCAGAAACGTAAACTGGGTATTTGAGGGTCTCCCTTTCAGAGAGCGGTTAGCCTTTTCCCGTCTGGATTTACTAGGAGCTTAGAGCTGGAACTCTTATCTTGAGGTCTGTGATCCCCCAAAGGAGGAACAAAGCTGTGACTAGGTGTTTGGGGAGAAGCATGTGCACCTTTGTCTGGAGAGAAGGTGCACCATTTTTATCTGATGCCCCCAAAAGGGTGAGATCCTCCGGCCAGGGAGACTCTGCTCTCCTGAGGCAGGTGCCTGGGGGTGGCGAGGCCCACAGCTTGCTTTCTGGCTCTCCCACAGCATGTGCAACCTGCAGCCGGTGTCTGGCCAGGACCGGGATGGCGTGGCCGACCTGGACTCGCAGCTGCAGGCGCAGGAGCGCATCATCAACATCTCCTACGCCCTGGCCTCAGAGGCCTCCCAGCGCAGCAAGCAGGTGGCAGGTGAGGCCCTGGGGACAGCCTCTGAGGCTGGGCCACACCCCCTGCTCCTTGGGCTCAGGGCCTGGCATGGCCTGTCGGGGTCGGTGGAAAGGCAGGCGTCAGGCTCGCTAGATGAGGGACAGTGGTATGTTCCCCTGTCCCAGGCGCACTGCAGGGCTTGCGAGGGGGACTGGGGCTCAGGCGTGTCCCGGGAGAGGGTGTATAGCTCATTCTTAAATCTTCGGAGTGGTACTGCTATTCCGCTTTCTCTGAGGTTGTGGGTTGAGAACAGGTTTTTCCTGTTCTCCTGAGCTAAGGGGTCAAGGCTAAGGTTTCTGGCCTCACGAAGAAGGGGCAGGAAAGCCTTTTGGTGCTTGGCTTTCTTGCCGGGACAAGGCAGAATGGGGCCTCTCTAACCCTCCCTGGGGTCCATGCTTTGGTTCCCAAATCAAAGTCACTGTTCACCTATCAGAGTGGCCTGTGCCAGAAAGCAGGACTTGGGAAGTGGGACTTTGCTGTCCAGTGGGAAAAAAATAGCACCATGGGATGGGAGGGTGTGTGTGTGTGCGCGCGCGCCAGGAAGGAGACTCCTGGCTGCTCTCCCCACCCACGTGTGCCCCCCCGTGTGAGCTCTCACAGTTCACCTAGTGCTGTTTCTCCCCAGATGCAGCTGCCACTGCATGTCTAGATGGTGCCCTTGGCCAGGTGTGAGAGGTGTGGTCATAGAGCCTGAAGTGGGGTCACAGTCCCCACCAGCCCTGGCCAAAGGGTCTAGAAGTGACCACGGGTGGGGCCTGCTGGACCTTGAAGTGGCTGGCCCTGGGAAGCAGAACCATGGGTATGACCGAGGACAAGGGGCAGCCTGTTCTCTGTCTCCCAGCTCGGATCCCGTACAGAGTCGCTGAAGTCCCTGCTGTTCTGACTCCCCTGAGGACATGTGCGTGGGCTGAGAGGGGGTCTCCCTTGGGGAGACGGCAGACGGCGTTCCCGGGCCCCTCCTCGTAATGATCCTGGGGCTCCCTGAGCCCATCGTGGCGATTTTGAATTCCTTCCCGTGTCCAGGGCTCTAGCAGGGGCACCTTCCCTGCCATAAAGTGCCCTCCTCTCTGGCCTGTGCTTGCTCTACCTATGTGGACCTACTGTCCTCGGCTTCCTTAACCACCAGCAGGCGAGCGTGCCCCAGACCTGACACCCGCAGTCACGTCCCTGCTCAGTGGCCACCTTTGCTGCAGCCTTTGCTCACTCTTGCTCCCTCTCTCCAGCTCAGAGACATTTCTGGGAACTGCAGGCCAGACCCCCGCCAGGCCCCATGGATATGCCCCCGCAAGCCCAGGCCGTTAGTGGTGGGCAGCGGGGCCCACGGCACCCCGGCCCTGCCGCTCAGGGCGTCTGGTGCTGCAGGAGCAGACGAGGAACCTAACGCGCCACTTAATTCCTGTCTGCCCGTCTAGCGCAGCATCTGGCCCTCCTCCCGCCTAAAGCCCCCCTGTCCTCCAGGACGGTGCCACCTTACCCCCCCTTAAACAACGGACTCCACTACACCTTTGTCTAACACCTTCCAAGTAAGAGCCCCCCTCCTGGTGTGGCCCCTCACCTGGCGCTGAGCATGTCCCCTCCCCTCTGCTGCTGAGATGATTGCAGTGCCACCTGCTGACGCTTCCTTCCGTGGGCAAAGCGGCTGCTGGGGAGACCCCTCCTGGACCGGTAGGCAGGTTGGGGGCTGATGATTTTTAGGAACTCAATGTTCAGCGGCTCCGATATAGTAGAGACTGCGTGATCCAAGCCCCCTGGCTCCCTGAAATCTCAGGAGGCAGAGCTGTGCCCCTTCCCGCCCCGCTGTCCTTCCTGCAGGCGGCCCAGTGCCCCAGAGGACCAGGGCAGGCCAGACGGCCAGCTTGGGAAGGAGGGGCGGTGGCTGGGAAGGACGAATTAGATCATGGCCTCTCCCCATCAGGGCTTTGACCAAAGAAATTGAAGAACCGGAAGCCTAGAAAAACCAGTTTTGCAGATGAGGACACGGACCCTGTGAGGGGTGGGGGCTCATTCCAGTCACAAGGGAAGCTTCAGGAGGAGGCTGCCCGGGGCGATGGCCCTCACTCCTGCAGAACATTCCAGCACCACCCCTTCTGAGTCCTCCCCATGTGGGCATTTACTGGTGAGAGGAGGCAGCGTGGGAGTAGGGAGGGAGCGCTGGCCCAGGAGTCGGGAGGCCGGGGCCAAGTCCAGGCTGTTGTTCTGAGTTCTTGGCTGTTGCCTCACCTGGACGGGGAGGGCGGATCAGGAGTCTCCGCAGCCTCTCCCTGATGTTCCACTTCGTACGACTGTGTAGGGCTTCCCCTCGCATCCCTCTATACACACGGTTAACGTTGCTGAGCACCTACTCCGTGCCAGGCATTGCGCTGATCATCTCCTTTGACAACAACCCAATGGAGATATTCACCCCGTTTTACAGATGAGGAAGCGCAGCTCAGAGACCCTGAGGGACTTGCCCAAGGAGTTGCGGCTGTGTCAGAGCCAGGGCTCGAACCCCTTCTGTGCGAGTTCAGAGCCTCTGTTCTCCATCGCCACCCTGGGCCCACCTGGGCCACCTCCATTGGCCCACCTGGGCCACCCCCGGGGGCTCTAGATGTTTGGAGAAGGGAGTGCAGTGAGGGATGGCGGTGTGTGGTTGGGACGGAGGCATGGTCTTGGGCAAGTGTCCACCCGCCTGGGCGCTTCGCTGTCCTGAGGGTGGCAGGAGGAAGTCGGCCTGTTGGGCCAGGCTCTCGGGAGGTGTGAAGTAGGGACCTCGTGACTGAGGAACCCCAGGGAATGCTCCAGCCAGGTCTTTTGTAAAGGCTGTAGGGTCTTCTGGGGCCACGGGATGGTGTATGGTTTTCTCCTGGAGATCCGAGTGTGGTGACACCACCCCAGGCCACAGAGAGGCAGAAGAGAGGCTCTGTTCCTCTCTGCTTTTAGTGCCCCTGTGGTCATGAGATAGGCCTCTAATGCTCTTTTCAGAGCACACACACATTTCCTTGTACCCTTCCGGCACCCTCATTAGGAGATTGGTACAGTCACCCTGTTTTTAGATTAAGAAAATGAGGCCCATGAAGGCTGAGAGAGTTACCCAGAGTCCCTCAGCAAATGAAGGGCAGGGCCAGAACTGGACCCCAGAGTCCTCTTTGCTCAGGCCTTCTGCCCTATCAGAGCAGGGACCCAGTCTAGGGGCCAGCATGTGTCTGGCAAACTTCCTAGAAGTGGTGAGGGTGGAGGAAAGGTGGGATGCCCGTTAGTCCTCGAAGCCGAGGGTCCCCCAGCAGCGGCCGCGTTGCCCCAGCCCCCTGCTCTGCTGTTCTCTGTCTTGTCAGCCTGCCATTCCCTGTCACGTGTGCACAGACATGCCCACCGCCTGCTCCCCAGACGTGGGCTGGGGTCCTGCCAGCCTCTCATTGTCTCCTGTGCTTTTTGCCAGCCCAGGCAGTGACTGACCCGTGATCCAGCGTGCAGAGAAGTCTGGAGCCAGGGGCCAGTGGAACCAGTTTCCTCCGAGAAGATTGATCCTTCTTCCCCTTCCAGCTGAGCCAGGGTTCAGGCTGGAGGACAGAGCACCACCAGCTGTGGGGCATTCACCACAGGGCTAGGGCCTAACACCCACGCTTGTTTTAGTTCAGACTCCTTTTTACATGTGACAAAGGCACTTTTAATACACACTGTAAAATACTGACTCTGTATTTTAGAATCAGGCTATATTTTATAATGTTCACCTCAAGGGCTGAGTGGCTGAGAAGGTGAGGATGCAGGATTTTGGAGCTGCACATACAGATTCAGGTACCGTTTGGGTGGTGGGTGTGGGTGGGAGCTGAAGGGCAGGGTGAGCAGAGGCCAGTCCAGCATCTGCTGAACTCAGGTGAGGTTGGATTGGAGATGTACTTCCAGTGGATTCCAGTGTTGGGCTCATTGGTGTGTTGTCCAGGGCAGTGATCAGCTGACCCTGACCTGGCCTGATGACCAGCTCTGTAGGGTGAAACTCCACCGAGCTGGCACGTGGAGCCTCGGCCTTGGGTCTGGCTTAGGCCCAAAGGTGTGTCCAAGAACTTTGGTTCCCAACCTGCCCATGAGGTTCTCTCAGCAAAGGGCTCTTCAAAAAATACAAAAACAGTTCGCTGTAATTAAAAAAAAAAAAACACTTTGAAATACAGAAAAGGTGAGAAGAAACACCTTTGATTTGTATCATAAGCAATAAACGTCACACTGGGTGGCATCTACCTACAGCTCCCCGAGTCCGCACTAGGCTGTGATAGGTAACCCGGGCTCGTTGCGGCTGGCCCCTGAGAACACAGGTCAGCCTACCCAGGACTTGGGTCAGGTGGCAGGTGGGCAGGCAGCAGGCCCCTGCCCTCCCTCATGGCCAGCAGGGCCATGATGACAGGACTATGACTTGACTTCCAGCCTAAAATGGGGAGGGCGCTGTTAAGCCAGGCGCAGTGTTTGTGGCCCTTTATGTAAGTCATGATATTCTGCATTCGGAAAATGAAGTTGGAAAAAAACAAAACAACTCCATTGGGTGGAGCCACACTTTAAATGAAAATTTGTCTTTGACTATGGTCAGAAAAATAATCTTGAATATATTTAGAAGTTGCCGTCTATTTTTAACTAACTCCATATGCTGCCAGTATCAACTTCATGACATTTGCCAAAATAAGATTTTATTTTTGCCTTTATAAGATTTTGTTGGAAAAAATGAAAGGACTATTTTGCAAGAAAAAGTTAATTTAAATAAAACTGTAATGGTTTGCAAAAAAAAAAAAAAAAATGTGATGTACAGATTAAACTATTAACCTGATATGCTTCCTGCCTTTTGCTGCCTATATTCTCCTGAGTGGCCTGTGTTAGTTTTTTTCCCATTTCCTTGGAAAACCCCCAGTGTCAGCTCTGGATCCTGCGGTGTTCACCTATGAAGTCTCTCCTGATGACAGTTCCGTGACACGTGATTGACTCTGGAGGCCTGAGGGAGGAAGGCCTGCGCGCTTGGGCCTTCGGCTGGGCTTCAGCAGCCGCTCAGAATGGCCCCCCACCTCGCCCCCGCCCGGCTGAGGGGCCGCCGGGCTGTGGACTCCTGTGCGGGGCTGGTTTGGCAGGCGGTCTGCAATCCCAGACAAAGGGAGGGACTCCGCAGGCCCTCTTCCAGCCCACACGCCTCCAGCTCGTTCCAATGAGGCGGGTTAGTGACGGACCATTGCAAACTGGACTTGTGTTTAATTCGTTTTGACTTGTGATATGTGCTTAAAGCAGAAGGCAAGAGGCCAGTTCAGTTTAGGGATGCGTGCGCTTCCAAGTTTGTTGCTATGGCAGTTTTTCTCTGTTGCCAAGAAGGGCACCCTCAGTTTAGAGTGACTTTCCAACTAGTTAAACTGGAGAAAATAGATACCAAGGCATTCCGAAGAGGGAATGCTGCTGCTTTTTTAGCTACTGCTCTCCTTTTGAATTTTAAAATGAAAAATACTCTCTGGTTTTAAGCATTACTTGGACCTATCTCCATAACCTATGAAAGGGAGGCAGGGGCGGTGGGGAGGAGGGTTTGTCCATGCCTGAGTGCAAGGCAAGAAAAAAGGTACAGGAGGCCCCCCCGCCCCACAGGGTGACTCCTGCCGGGAGGAGGGGTAGCCTGTTCTGTAAGAATCGTGGCCCAAATTTCAAACAGAGAGCGTGACAGGCCCTCACCTCAGACTTCATGGAGAGCACGCGTGATCTGGAAAAGGCACCCTCCAGCTATGTCACGTGTGAGCAGACGCATGGCCCGGCCCCCTTCTCCGCCCCCTGGAGAGGACTCGTTACCTGAGGTAAGATGCCATCTGCGGAAGGGCCGGCTGACCAGGGACCCTCCAGGTGGGGGGCCACTGGGAAACCCCACGTGGCCCAACGATTCCGGCTTTGCTTCTTTACCGGGACCCACGGGCCTGAGCAGAGTTTGAAACGATGGGATTGCAGTCAGCAGAGGGGGCATGAGCACACTTCTGCACCCCTGCTGACATCCATTCCTGACTTTAACTCTAACCCAGGTCCCGGTCGAGCCCAGTATGTCTATCTTATTTTAGCAAGAACCAACAAGAACATTTTAGGATCTAGTATTAACAGGGGTTGGGAATAATCTTTTCCTAATGCCCACTTGACCCTTCTGAACTGCCCAGATTCTCAACATGTCCAGGGTGTTGTTTAAATGATTGAAGTTTAGATGTGTGTGCATTTGTGAGTGCACGTGAGGCAGATGTGCCCAGACTGATGCGGGTGTTGAAAGCAGGCCTTTTGTTTGCTCCCTTTCATTCACTTTTCTGCCCGCCTTTGTGTCTGGCTGGGGGGATGGGATCCGCAACTAGTCCCTTCTCCCTCTGACCCCTTGGCCACCTTCACTTAAGCTGGGTTCTAGAATTCTCCTGGCTGTTGTAGGTTGCAGCCTAAGGCCAGGGAAGCCTCCATCTGCCCAAGGTCAGCTTGGGGATAGAAGGCATGGGGGGTGGAGTGGATGTGGACCCTGACTCAGCTGGACAAGAGCCCATTTTAGGGTTTGGGAGTTTCCCCCAGCTATGGTACAGAACTCTACGGCAAATCCTTTTGTGTTCGCACCAAGGGCGGGAAAGAAGCAACGGATTATTTGTCTAATCCACAGATCACATCTCTGAGATGAGGCAGGCGAATGCTGGGAGCCCTCTGCTTCCGATTCAGCATCAGACACCGGGGCACATGAGGGACTTTGCCCAAGTGGGTTGCGTGCCGTTACGAAAAGAACAAAGAGACGAGGCTGGGGGGGATGTGAAAAATGGCAGCCCCTCCCGGCCCGGTAAACACGCCATTGCTTTGCCATCTCCACTCCAAAGGCTACCACTTTCATTGCTCTCCGAGCAAAGAAACCTTTCTTCAGAGCGAGTGGCAGGGTACAAAGGCAGAGTACAAAATGTGCACACATCACAGTCCCCGCAATTCTGTTTGAACAACCATATTGATTGGGTCTGACCTTGTTACATTTTTTTCCTATTATTTGAAAAGCTGCATCTAAGTGTAGTGAATTGAACCAGCGGAACTGAACTTTCCATGAAAACTTCTCGAGGTATTTCTTTAGTTCAAAGCTTTTGAATTTTAAAGGGCATTTTTAATACGAGTCTGTTGAGTATTCTCTGCCACAGCCCAACAAGGGATGTTAAATGCAGATGAGGATGGAGCGAGGGCACCCGTGGGGTGGACGTGCCCACACAGCGGAGGGTGCAGGTCGTGGTTGGAGGGTGCAGGCCAGCCCAGGAAGGGCTAAGCTTTGGGGAGAGAGGCCGAGCCTGCGGAGCAGCACACACAGACCCCAAAAAGGATCTCTCTGAGCTCACTGGGGACAGCTTAGGAGACAGGGAAGAGGTTTCCCAGCTGAGCTTCTCAAAGGCTTTTATGTGGAGAGCTGAGAAGTACTTGCTAGGGGCCCCTTCTGATGGGCGAGGGTTTTGTCCTTGGGAATAAGGGGCTCCTTACTCAGCCACTCGCTTTCTCTTACACTGTGTTTTAGAACTGAGCAGGAATAAGAGGCACAGCCCCTTGGGTGAGGTCACAGAGTCAGAAAAGAAGCTGCCACTGTCCTCAGCCCTTGACGTCACTTAACAACTGCAGGTGCTTTCCTGCTGAGCCCTGAGCTGCATCCCGATCGTCAACTGATTTGACGTCTTAGGACGTTTTGCTGATCGTGTGGGCCACAGCAGTGGTCCCTCTTGCCATCCTGGCCTGGGCCCTTGGAAGCATCTGGAGTCGCATTTTTTCCTCCACACAAGGGGCCTCTCCCGGCCCACTGAAGGCACACAGCCGCCGCCTTTGAGTGAGTTCCAAGGGTCTGTTTGCCTCCGGAGGCCTCTTGGATCTAGAAAGCACCTCCTTTCTAGACCCAGAATTCGAGATCAGAGGCAGAATCATCCCAGGGAGGAGCTGGAAAATCAGGTCCTGTGCTGGAAGAACCCAGGACTTGGGCATCTCAGCAAAATCCTTTCAGTGTCCTTGCCAAACCTCCAGCCTAGAAGATTGGCCTGGGAAGGTCAAAACAGGGTCAGAATCACAGTAACAAATGGTGGAAGATACCCAGTCTTCTCTGCTCACAACTGGGGACACCAGCCCCATTCAGATTCCTCTTACCTCTTGTGGGAGCCCCCAAGGGTGTCTCACATACACTCTGAAATTAGTGTTTTTGGCTGTCACATTCGGGCCTTCCTGCTGTTATCTGTGTTTCCTGAGGCCACACTACCCAGTGGATACCAGGGAAGTTCCACTGACAGTAAAAACTCAGGTTTCATGGCCGCTGCCCCGCTTCTGCTCACAATGAGGGTCCAGGTCCTGTGTCCATGTCTCCCCAGTCATTTCTGGGGTCCCGAGGCATATCTTACGTGAGCTCACCACTGGCCTCTCAAGCTGCAGTTCTTCCACTTGCAACTCCTGGATGTCATCAAGCCATGATGTGTCCCAGGGAGACCGTCCCTGCCCAGCTCACAGTCCTCTCCCGGCGCTGCGGACCCTCGAAGTGCCTGATGAGTGTGTCTCACCACGAGTCCTCCCTGGCCAAGCCCAGGCCACAGTCTGCATGCACGTAGGAGAACTTGTGCTCCCTAATTCTGTGGCTCTCGGGTCCCAGAGAAGGTTTTGTGTGCTCTGGTTCACCCAGAGCCCTGGGGAGAGCCACTTCTTCAAGCTTCTGCTCAGGTCCCCTGTCTGTGGGGCTCAGACACGTTCTCTCTGTTTCCTCCTCCCTCACCCCAAATAACAATTTGTTATTTCTTATGATTCTGCAACCTGGGCTGGGCTCAGCCGGGCAGGTCTTCTGCTCCATGTGGTGAGGGGGCATTGGGGTGTCCAGGGTGGTTTCCTCACTCACATGTCTGGCACCCCAGCTGGGATGGCCTGGGGAGCTGGGAGCTGGCTGGGCTGCTCCGTCTTTCCACACGGCCTCCCCACGTGTCTGCTCCGTCTTACAGCGTGAAGGTCTCAGGGTAGTTGGACTTTTTACCTGAGCTGGCTTCCAAGGGCAGCAAAGCTGCCAGCCAGGCCTTTTGAAGCGTAGATCTGGAATTGGCACAGGGTGACTTCCTCCGCATTCTCTTGACCAAGGCCAGGCACAGGCCAGCCAGCTTAAAGGGGAGGGAAATAGATTCCACCCCTTGATGGGTGGAGTGGCATGCACGTGCAGACGGAGGGGATGGACGGCGGCCGTCTTGGAGACTGTCTACCACAGGACTCCTTCCTCATTCTCCTACAGCCACTGAAGCATTTAACAGCCAGTGCAGTCGCCCCAGCTTTCTCTTCCCCTGTAGTGGACACCTGGGAGCCACATATTCTGGACGGAGTAACCACAGGATGCAAGCCGACTGGTCCTAACTCTCCACTTGGAAGGGGACTACCCAGCAGAGGCCCTGAGGCCCACGGCTCACTTCGCATGAGTGAGAAATAAACTTTGATGTATTCATCCCCTGGGACTTTAGGCTTTATTTTCTACTGTTGCATAATCTAGCCTACCCAGGTTGTAGGTATCATTATCCCCGTACTACATATGAGAAAACTGAGGCATGTTGGTTCCGTGACTAGTCAGAGACTGAGTTGAAGCTGGAGCTTGTATCTGACTCCAGAGAGCCTTTAACCACTGCATTGGCTGCTGTTACCCTGGGAAGAGGAGATGGTGGGGGAAGACAGTCCTGTGGGCCTGGATTCTGGGTCACTTGAAATAGCATTGCCTGTGGTGAGGACAGAGAGCTCATGGACAGCATGAAGAGAGACCCACAGGGAAGCGCCTAACACAGTGCCTGGAGAGCAGGAGGTGCTCAGCTCAGCGAA